GAGTTTTACTAAGTTGCGATGCTGAACTGCAGAAATCGCTACTATTTCTGCAACAAATTGCCCCTTCCCTTGCCGGGATCCAACCGACAACTGCTTCACCGCCACTTCTCTTCCATCACTGAGTTTACCCTGTTATGCGAAACAAAACGTATAACTTATACTCTGGTTTCTAAGTACTTTTTTTAGTAAAGGAGTTCCCTGTTTCAATGTATTAATCATAAACAAAACGTATTACATATACTCTGGTTTCTATTTATCTTCTTTTTTTTTGGTAAGGGAGTTACCTTGTAAACAGGCCCAAATCCTCCTTCTCCAAGCTTGTTTGAGGGATCAAAATCTTGAGTTGCACTTTTAAGTTCAGAGTAAGTGAAAGTGTAAGGCTTTACGTCCATACTAAGTATCTCTGCAACAAAAAAGAACCAATTTGAGAGATAATATTCAGGTTTAATTTTAATTCAAAGGCATATTTGTAAGCTTATTAGATCTATACCTTCATCATCTGTGTACCGCTTTCTTCTTTTTCGGATGATGAAGATAACCACACATGCCGAGATGCTCAAAAGTCCTACTACGCCAACAATGACACCCACAATAGTACCAGTCCTGTTCTTTTCCTTTGATGGTGGCTTATTGCCCACAGTTGGTGTAAAATCTGAATAGCATTATGTAACACTTAGGTATTTACTAGCATCAAGAGAGTGAAATTCAGGGGAAAAAAAGGATTTTTGCCATTACCTGGTTTTGCACTAACGGCCGATATCAATGGCCCATAAGCCCCTTGGATAGGAATACAACATGTTCCTTTTCCAGCCCAGAAAAGATGAATTTCGAGGTAATTTTCTGATACGTTTGTTTTATATTCTCTCTGAACAGCTCGAACAGTAGAGTCACCAGCTGTTCTGCGCACATCAAAATCCTTTTCAACAAGTCTTCCCTGGATAAACATTCAGAAGAAAATTATCATTACACCCAAAAGTTAAACTCGTGAACCGGAAAGCTTGGTTCTTTAGTGCAGACCTGGACATAAATGTCGAAACGTCGTCTTCCTAAACCTCTCCAAGTGTTAGAAATAGAACCAAGAATTTGTATTTCAGCAAACTGAAGTGTTACGGTATAGGCTCCGTTTTCTAGCCCCAGCCCATAATACCGTAGGGAAGATGCAGAAAGTCTTGCTGACTGAAAAAGCTCTGAGTCCAAAGTGTTAATAAATTGTGCTTGTGAAGTAGCTATGTATATATTATTGCTACTTCCGGCAAAAAGTCCTACGCTACTGGCTGCCCATCTCTGAACATCACTCACGAAAAATGAAGCTGGTCCAAGATCCTCGTCCTCCTTCTCAAATACTGCTCCACTAACAGACCGTATTTGTGGGCCTCCGCAGTTGATCGAAAATTCAGAATCTATAGACCCATCAATAGAGAAAATCTTATATAGTTAGTTTATCAACAGTATATACAGTCCAAATAGTTGCTCATAGCACTCGGAGAAAAACGGTTATGATGATATATATCTCTTTGTTACACTTACATATCGGTTTGCCTCGATTGCAGATAAAGTTCTTCTGAAGGCAGTTCAGTCCTGATAATAAACTTTTAACAAAAAGACAGAGAGTTTCAAAAAGATATGACAAGTCCTCTATACTTTTTTTTTGGCAAGAACTTATTAAAGAAAATCACCTATTGTCACGACCTTCCAATGTGAAGTTGTTCGCAACTAGGTTTCTGCACAAATAAAATACAGTTTTGTTATCATTAGAATATGAAGACGCCTAATGTGTATATACAAGGAAAAATTTTCTGAGAGTGAAGAACACCGTAAATATAAGTAGAGGAGTAGCGTTTTGTTTACTTACAGTTTCAAGTTTGGTAAGCTGACCCATGAAGGAAGACTTCCAGATAAATCATTGTATGACACGTCTCTGTAAGTATAAAAGAATAATAATTAGGATACACTGAATATTTTCTATGTTCCAAAACAGATTCCTAATTTTCTTGGCAAGTCTTCAACTTGAATAAGCGCCAAGTAACTTGAGTCTATGTCAGGAGGATCTGTTAACAAAACCTCCAAAATATTATGGGATACGTTGTGGCTTTCACAGATGAATCAATTACAGTATAAAGGGCTTTGTTACTCACATATTGCTCAAAGTCTGCCTCTTTTGAGTGGGCAAGGAACCATTCAATGTGTTGTTTCCCAGAAACCTAATATCAAGACATCAAAGTTTTTCCACAATTATCCAGGTAGTTGTACATAAGGACCCAAAAGAAGCAGAAAACATATAATCTTACAAGTGAGTAAGTCGACTTAAGTTGAAAAGTGAAGCCGGAATTGGTCCATGTAGTTTGTTGAAGCTTAAATCACTGGTAAACAGACACGAATTACAGTAAAACATTCATGTTAAGCAATTGAAGATCACTTCGTGTTCTCTCGGTGTATTTCACAAATCATCTCACTCTTTTCACAAATAAACAGCTTTCAGAGCATTTTAAGGAAAAAAAAACAAAAAAAGCTCTAACTTATGCACTTACACTTGTTGCAGACTTGAGTATTCTCCGATATTAGACGGTATTGTCCCAGTGAGATTGCTGTTCCTGAATACTCTGCGACAGATATCATCAATGTTAAATACACGGAGGAGATGGAGGGAAACAGTTGATATATTGGAGTAGAAGTTGCCTTACAGTACACTTAGAGATTTCATGTCTTTGATGAATTCAAGAGAAGAGCTTACATTGGATATATCCCCAAGCCTCCTACACTTAGAATAGGATAAGTGGAGAGAAGGAAATAGTAAAAAAAAAAAATTGATGATTTTGAGACCAATGCAAAACACATACAGTTCTGTCAAGGAAGTCAAGCTGGAAAATGACGAAGGTATCGGACCACTCAGACCAGTTCCGAGAATTCTCCTGCAGTAAAACATGTAGCAAACGTTGAATCCCAAAATTTAACTGTCATATATATACTAGAAAGTAGAAGTAACGACAAGAGAAATGTTAGATCAAGTCCATTATATAAAAATGAAATCTTCTTACAAGGTAGTAAGTTTGGTCCAATTTCCTATAAAGTCTGGTATCTGACCTGTAACTTCTAGATCCGTTATCCAGCTGGTACAACAGAATTGAGGGAGGGGAAAAAAGAGAGAGTAGAGATTATTGTAGGTAGAAATGTAAAGATAAAGCTTAAATTCGTTTCATACCCCAAAAAAAAGAAGAAGCTTAAATTCGAATTCAATGAATCTTACGCGTCTTGCAGCTCCACAAGATTAGCAAATGATAAAGGTATTTCCCCTCTGAGTCCAGAACTTCCTATGTACCTGCAACAAATGTAAGAAATTCGTTTTAAAACAAAAACAAAAACAGAGCAAGCAAGAATTGTGTGGTTGGTGAGAAGTAGATGATTTTGAAAGCTAAGTTTTGATATATGAATTATAAACAGGAAATGAAAACATAAAAAAGACTTGTAGATTTGACAGAAATACACACTCACAGTTTCTGTAGTTTTGTACAACTCGCAATCTCAGGTGGTATAGAACCGGAAAAGTTATTAGAACTAATACCACTGCCAGGAAAAAAAAAAGATAGAAAGGTATAAGGAACCATCAAAGTCTCTCCCATGTAAGCAATAAGGAAGCAGAAAAAGCTTACAGTGATCTTAAATCAGTAAGCAAACCAATTTCCTTAGGAACAGGGCCAGACAAGGCATTGATCCCAAAAGTCCTAGGAAATAAAAATGAAAATGAGCGTGGAGGTGCAGGAAATGAGCAGAAATAATAGAGAAACGAAGAAGAAGGTTTCACAGGATGTATACATATATTGCATTCGAGTCAAATTTCCAATTGCAGGAGGCAGGGAGCCTGTGAGAACATTTTGACCCAAGTTCCTGAAAGAAGGAGAAAGATGTGAAGATTTGAGGCTTGTATATATATGACCAAGAAGAAGAAGAATAAAAAGGGGGTCTATTATATGATCAAGAAGCATACAGATTTGTGAGGTATTCCAAGGTCCATAGCTGTGGAGGTATAGGTCCTGCAACTTCCATGGCATAAACCTTGCTGCATGCAGGTGAAAAGTTAACATCATCAATAGAAAAAGGCAGTGGGAGAATGCGTCAAACACTTGGGGTGCACAAAAAGAAAAAGAAGAAGCGTACAGGACGGTGATACGGCAGATTGTGGAGTTGAGGAAATTGCAGTCGCATTTGATAAGAGGGTTGTAGGCAGGGTTGGTGTCGGTGACACTGTCGTCGATGGCGGCGCCGGAGCAAAGTTCGCCGCTGATGTTCCAGTCCCTCGGCGCCCGAATCCTCCAAGCCGCGAAGATTGAGTTCAAAACTCGCGCTGTCAGTTTTGTTTTTCCCACAACACAACCGTCACATCATTCATCATTAATCATTAATCAAGTACTAATACAGTTTTAGTTTGGGGGTTATGCATCTAATTACAACTACGCTTTAACTTGCTTATACTAGAGTATAGAAAGAAAAACAAACAAACTATATAAAAAAAAAAAAATTAGGATCCAAACGAAAAACTAGCTTCAACAGCCGAACAATCCAATCGAAGGAGAAGACAGACCTTCGTCGGGATGGGTAGTGGCTCCGGTTCGGTTTTGAGCTCGAACCTGGTCAACCGAACCGGTTATACACAAAAGGAACCAGACGGCGAGGACCGGACAGTTGAAAGTCATGGCCATCGTCGATGTGAGTAAGAGAGACAAAAGCCAAAACGAGAGACGGAGCTTTTCGCTTTGGTTACACAGAGACTATTACTATGGTGTTCTTCTTCTTTGGACTTTTGAAGATGCATTCTGCTTAATTTTTGAATTAAATTAAGACGGTCGTCTAATCTAAGCAACACGCTAAATGCACGTGGAGTGCACGCGCCTCCGTGTCAACGGAGACTTCAACAATGGCGGCTGAAGGGTGCGACCGCGAGTGCAACCATCACCACCTTTTGAAGGAACTACTCTACTATATAATATAATATACTATAAGAAATCGGAACATAACATTCACTCAAACGACGTCGTTTTGTTGGTCTGACAAATGCTCGTATTGCACAAAAATAACAAAGACTATACAGTAAATGTTTCTGTTTTTTACAAGTTACAACGCAAACCAGTCTAAATGTAAACAACAAAACTCAAAAAAAAAAAAAGGTGTTTCAAGTCGTGCGTGCATCTTCGACTTGGGACTTTGAAGGAGGACTCTTTGGAGTATCAGGCAATATCCAGCTCGAGCTCGTGGCACCGCTCATGAAGCTCATTGCGTTCTCGAATGTTCTCTCCGAGACGTAACCTGGCTTCGCATTGGCTTCCGTTACCTCCACATGCCCCGTCAACATGCCTACCACTCGGGACATCGCTGGCCTTATTGCATGATCCGTTTGTGTGCACAAGAACGCTACCCCTATCACACGCTTCACTTCTTCCTCCTCATATCCTTCTGCTAGTTCCGGATCCACAATTTCCACATCACGATTCTCTTGGTGTAGGCTCCATGCCTGCCACAAAACATATATATATAACCTACGTGTTTCACCAAAAACTTCTTCTTCTTCTTCTTACAAGCCTGATCACATGCATCAATTCTGGAAATATAACATACCCATTCGAGAAGGTATTGTTTCTCGTCATCCAATTCTGGAGAGGAGTTGGGCCTTCCGCTCACAATTTCCAGGGCCACTATACCAAAGGCAAACACATCCGTCTTCTCCGTAAGATGTCCAAGCATCACGTACTCTGGTGATAGATATCCACTGCAATTTTGTGTAACAATCAACAACGCTAATTAGTCTTAACCCATTTGACAAAACAACAATCTCATTTTAAATGTGAGGTTTCCAGGATATTTGTTTACATTGTCCCTGCAACTCGGGTACTTATGTGCGTCTTCTTGTCATCATATAGTTTGGCCAATCCAAAGTCCGAGAGTTTTGGTACAAGATCCGAGTCGAGCAGAATATTGCTTGCCTTCACATCCCTGTGCACTATACGAGGACTTGACTCCTCATGCATATATGCTAAACCCTTGGCTACTCCCAAGCATATCTCGAAACGGTCTGACCAACCAAGCTGCAAACTGTTTTCCTCTGCGACAGTCATGCATACAATGTGTAAGAGAATAAGTGCTGCATTTTACAAAATCTCACAGGATGCCACATTTTTTTTTTTATTTTAACTAGTTCATGAGCATACCGAATAGAGCTTGATCTAGACTTTTGTTTGAGAGGTATTCATATACAAGCATGCGCTGATTTCCCTCAATGCAGCATCCATACAGTTTTACAAGGTTGCGATGCTGAACAGCTGATATAGTGGCAATCTCCGCAACAAACTGACCTTTTCCTTGCCTGGATGCAACTGACAATTGTTTCACCGCTATCTCTCTTCCGTCGTTCAGTTTTCCCTGCACCACTGGATACTTTTAGTATATAGCCAATACATAAATCATACATCAATTCCAATGCATTCATCTCTTCTACTGTGCTCCCTATATTGGTGTTTCATTCACATTCTCTAAACGGTCTTACCTTAAAAACAGGTCCAAACCCTCCCTCCCCAAGCCTGTTGGAATTATCAAAATCTTGAGTTGCAGCTCTGAGTTCTGAGTAACTAAAGGTGTAGGGCCTTATGTCCAGACTGTGTAGCACTGCATAAAATTATGTGGTTCAAAAGAACCAGTTTGAAGGTTACAGTTGTTCACGATTCGACTTTAATAATATTGCCTCAGCTTAAGACTCTCTATTGACTTTAATAATATTGCCTCAGCTTAAGACTCTCTATTTACCTTCTTCATCAGCCGCCCTTTTTCTTTTCCGACGGATGATTAAGATGATAGCGATCACCAAGATACTAATCATTCCTGCTCCTACAATGGCCCCTACAATTATAACAACTGTTTTCTTGGATTTCGAAGGCAACTTATTATCTACAGTAGGTATGAAATCTGCAGAGAAGAAAAGCTGGTAGTGAGAAGAGACATTGGAATCTACAAAGATCATGAAAAATCTTTGATGTTACCTGGCGTTGCACTGATAGCTGAGACTAACGGCCCATAAGTCCCTTGAGCAGGAATGCAACATGTCCCTTTTCCAGCCCAGAAAAGATGAATTTCGATGTAATTTTCAGATACATTTGCTTTATATACTCTTTGAATTACCCGGGAAGTAGAACCGTTAGCCGTTCTGTGCATATTAAAATCTTTTTCAACAAGTTTTCCCTAAAAAAAAAAAGGCAATCAGAGTTCTGAAACCGTCATGTAGCCTCTTAGACCCCCGCTTGAACGAAATACTACAGACGAACCACATGCATATTATCAAGTTCTTTCTAATTGAAATGACAATATGAAAATCATCTAATCTCACAAAAATAAAATAATGAATTCAGAGACAAGAAGAAGCTCAATGTAATAGTAGAGACCTGGACATATATGTCGAAAAGTCGCCTTCCAAGACTTCTCCAGGTATTAGAACCTTGTATTTGTATCTCACCAAACTGAACTGTTACACTATAGCCTCCATTTTCTAGCCCCAGTCCGTAATACCTCAGAGAAGATGCAGAGAGCCTCGCTGATTGAAAAAGTTCTGAGTCCGAAGTGTTTGCAAATCGTGTATTAGCTGAAAGAGCTATGTATTGATTACTATTACTCCCAGTAAATAGTCCTACATTGCTGACTGCCCATCTCCGCGTTCTACTAACGAAAAATGAAGCTGGTCCAAGCGCTCCCTCGTCCCTCTCATACAAAGCTCCACTACTAGACCTGATATCCGGGCCTCCACAGTTGACCGAAAAGTTGAAATCTGGGCACTCATAGAGAGAGAGAGAAGCATGTTAACCAACGTATTTTCTAATATATGCATCCTAACATTGTCAATGCCATTTAGATACACTTACATACTCCTTTTCCTCGATTGCAGCGAAAATTCTTCTGGAGGCAGTCCAGTCCGGGGAAAACCCTTTTAGAAAGAAAAAAATGAAAAATATGGCATGTAGATTAACATTTTCATGCTTTCGAGATAGAAATTCTGTAGAACTTTAGGCACGAAGAATAGAACAAGATGGACAAAGTCACCTTCTGGTAGAACCTCCCACTGTAAAGTAGTTGTTAACCAGGTTACTGCAGAATAAGACCAAAAAAAGGTTTGTTTTCAGCACAATAATGTATTTTGTGCCATTAAATTTAAGCACATAGTTCCCGAACTTACAGTTGCAAGTTTGGTAGGCGAACCCAAGAAGGAAGATTCCCAGCTAAATCATTGTATGAGACATCTCTGCACACAAAACACTTTGAAGTAAATTGACAAGTTTTCAATAGATGGTACTCAGAGAGAAGCTACATTCCTCTACATATATTTGTTACTCACAGATTGCTAAGAGAGGGACTCTTTTGAATGGGTAAAGAACCACTCAACTTGTTATTTCCAAGAAACCTAAACGAAAGTAACAATATTTATACTCAGTTAGTCAGCGAATTTTGAATAAGAGCATGTGATGGGAAAAACGACTTTATTCTTACAAGTGAGTAAGTTGGCTTGAGTTGAAAAGCGACGCTGGAATTTGCCCAGTTAAGTTGTTGAAACTCAAATCACTGGAGAAGAAATAATGTTTATTGTATAGGTGCTTTATGTAAGAAAGTTTATCATCTCAGTTTAGTAACAAAGAAAACATTGGAAAACATTTTGTTTAATCTTGTCACATACTTACAGTTGTCGCAGCTGAAAGTAATCTCCAATATCGGAAGGTATTGTGCCTGTAAGATTATTGTTCCGTAATACTCTGCATGATATATAAAAAATGTCAAAAATACAGAGGAAAGGGAAGAGCTAAAAGTTTCAGAAGTTCATCAAGAATAGGCCAAAGCTGAACAGAAGTCCTTACAGTACACTTAGAGATTTCATGTTCCGGATGAATTGAAGAGACGAACTGCTATTGGATATTTCACCTAGTCTCCTGCATTTTAGATTTCCATCAATATCGAGACAAAGGAAGAACTGAAAATTGAAGGAGAAAATAATATATATCCAACACTTACAACTCTGTCAACGAAATTAAGTTTGTAAATGTTGATGGAATTGGACCACTCAAACTAGTCCCCAGAATTCTCCTGCAGTAAAGCATGTATTAAACATTGAGTATAGCCTTGGATATATAGAGTGGTATACCATCAAGTGTTTGATTATTACAATTCACTCTCTCTGCTGATAGAGAATTTGTAAGAGCTTAAAACAAAGAAATAAGAGAGCTGCAATATGAAATTTCTCACAGAGTAGTAAGTTTGGTCCAATTTCCTATAAAGTCTGGTATCTGACCTGTAAGTTGGACATCATTAATCCAACTGAAACGACACAGAAAAAAAAAAGTCAATCCAAAACTTACGAAGAGTTAAGAGTGTGCAAATGTTACTTAATGAGCTGCCAGATACAATAACAACCCAGGAGTTTATAAGAAAAATCTTACGCTTCTTCCAGGTCCACAAGATTAGCAAATGAAGAAGGAAGTTCACCAGTAAGTCCTGAACTTCCAATGTACCTGTCATAAATACGAGAATCATAGTATATTCCTAAGACAATATGAGAAGTGAGATTTTGATGGAGTGCTGATGCAAGAATTACTAAATGTCGCCGTTATTTTGGAGTTTTGTAGGGAATGCATGAATTAAAAAAAGTTTACAAGAAGTATGATCGACCGGCAAAGCATTGCATAAACTTACATTTTGACTAGCCTCGTGCAATTTCCAATCTCAGGAGGTAGAGAACCAGAGAAATTATTCATATCAATCGCTCTGTACAACGGGAGCTCAAACACAAAACAAAAAAAAATCCTTTAAAGCAAAAACTAATGAGCCGGTTGAAAGTGAGATGAGATACTTGATGAGAAGTCCTTACAGTGATCGTAAATCAGTGAGCAGTCCGATTTCTTTGGGAACTTGTCCTGACAATGCATTGGCCCCAAAAGTCCTAAAGTTAAAGGCAGCAATAAGAAGGAGGAGGAAACAAATGCTCATATGAAATAACTATAGAGCTTGTCTGGAAAAGGGAAAACGCTAAAAAGGGGTAAGAGTGCCTTACATCCACTGCATGCGAGTCAGGTTTCCAATGCCAGGAGACAGGGAACCAGTCAAGAAATTCTGATTTAGGTTGCTGCAGGACGAATGAGACATGAGTGATGAGTGTGTTCAAATGCAAAGAAAAGAAAGAATGATTGCTAAAAATAAAAGCGTACAGATTTGAGATGTAAACAAGAGTCCAGAGGTCTTGAGGAATTGGTCCGGCAACATCCATACCACGAGCCCTCCTGCAAAAAGCAGTTCGAGTAAATTTCAGAGCAACTAAAGGCGGGGAAAAGCGTCGAACAGGTGGAAGGCAAAGTTGAAAAACGAACAGAGCAACGATGCGGCAGATAGTGGAGTCGACAAAAGAACAGTCGCATTTGATGAGAGGGTTGAAGGCTAAGTTGTCGATGCTGACGCTGTCGTCGATGGCTGCTCCGCTGCAAAGTTCGCCGCTGATGTTCCATGCCTCCGTCGCCGTTATCTTCCACAGCTCGAAGATCTTGTTCAACGCCCGAGCTGGATTTGACCACAAAACAATTTCTCTGCTTATTCATTCTTCGCAAAAAACAACAAGAACCTGGTCAAATCAAATATTTTAACGGAAAAGTTTAGATTGGAGCACCTTCGTCGGGATCAGTAGTGGCTCTGGTTCGGTTCTGTGGTCGAACCACATGAAATAAACAAGATATGGACACGAACCAAACTGCGACAAAGAGATACTGAGACCGCCTCGGCATCGTCGGTCCAAATATGCGATGAGAGAGAGAGAAAGAGAGAGAGAGAGAGAGAGAGAGAGAGAGAGAGAGAGAGAGAGAGAGCAAACCAAGCTTGTCAGACTAAACTCGCCATCTCTTTATGCGTCCAATATTATACTCCAATTATAGTAATTTTACTTAAATAAATCCAGTAACAGCTTGTTCTGTTTTTAGATTTTAAATAATATTGTGACCATGTGGGTTCCTTTTCAGTATTTTGGTCTTTAGTTATTAAGACAACACCAAAAATGTGTCTGAACGCTTGAAATCACGCCATTCGTTAATCATTACTTACTATATTAATTAATGGATTAGGTGTGTTCAAGTGTATGTCCGATTTCAATTTAAAACTGCTAATTTTGTACCGGAAGCGGGTTCAAACCGATTCAAACAAGAATGAATTAAGTGAACCTTTGACCAAGATAGATTACTACTTAATACTTATCCATGCATGATATCAGCTAGCAAGCTGCTTCTTTTTTGTTGTCGTATTTCGTTTTAATCCACCATTGAATTCGATAGGTTAACGTATTTCTCGTACATATATGTAGAGAGAACGATTGGATGCAATCAAAATCGCTTATATGAACCCTTTCGAAAATGAAAAAGAGAAAAATCGCTTATATCAAAATTATAAGACGACCAATAAACGATAGAATTATGATTAGGACAAGGACGTTTTCAAATACAAATCAATCAATACGTTTGATTATTCTTTTTAAATTTCGTGGTTGTTTTTTTCAACGAACGCAAATCTATAAATAATAATTATATCCTCCCTTTTTATTATTTTTTGTTGACGATATATAAGTATATTATCTGCATGACTTGGCTTGGCGGTAAATGGCTATTAGATTTTGTTGAATATGATGACCGATGAGCTTCTGCTTCTCCACGCATTCAAAGGTTTTATCTCAGTTGTATTTACCAAAGTACCCTTGAAGATCATTGGGTCGAGTGGGCCAAGTGGGCCGAGTTAAAAAATAATTTGTCTTTCCGCGAACCTCCATTTTCTGTTGGGCCACGTAATTATCGTTTTTTCTTTTCCAATACTAATTTCCAAGCCTCGATCGGAGATATTTGGGCTCTCTGTGCAAACAAAGTTTCCGATCCCTTTAAAATGAAAAAGCCCATTTTACTCTCTACACGATCTTGTAGTATCTTAGTGGAAAATTGGCCATTTTCAACCCAAACTTTTCCGAAGTGTTAAAGTTAGACCAAAACTTATATACAGTGCGTAAATATACTTAATCATTATAACAATTTAAATTGCATTCTTAATCTTTTGATTTTGTGTTAAAATATATTTCCGTCCAATCGTTGTTAGTGTTCTGTTAAACGATGCCCAAGTGGCATCCATATAGTGAAGGTGTCGTTAAACAATGCCTGCGTGGCATCCACATCGTCAAAGTGTCGTTTTGGGTTAGAGTTTAGGGAAAAAAAACAGATAAAACTTCGTCGTTTACGCTATCTTCAACCCATCGACTTTACTCGTCAGCAGCGACTTTACTCAGCGAGGAATTAGTTGCTTGGATAGCAAGAAACAACAAATAGAACGGCTCTTTTACGGACAGAGAGAACAAGGACGTAGTTGCGGAAGCCGTCCAGAGAGCCTAAAATGTGAGACGATGGGTGGATGGAGATAGAGCTTGGAGAGTTCGAGACAGGATCAGAAGGTGACGAGGAGGTCGCGATGAGTCTAACCGAAGTTAAACGCTATCAATTGAAGGGTGGGATTGTAATTGATGGGATTGAAGTTAGGTGTAAACCACACCAAAAAGCGAAACTGATTAAAGATGATCAATGCCAAAAACCGATCCAATAAAAGCCACAAACTATACAAAACTAATCTCGCAAACTGTAAATCCTATCAAATCGACACAACAATAAAAAGAAGAAGCACTATCTGATAGTTTACCTCATGTCGACAAGTCCTAAGTGATGATAACCAAAAGCTTAGACTACTTAAACCCTGAATTCTCCAAGCTCTAAGTGATGATCGCTATGTTACTTTCACTTCACGAAGACGAAAAGAATACGAAAGGTCGTGGCGTGTGGGAAGAGAAGAAAGTGTTTTCCAAGTTATTTTTTTAATCAATTTTTTAGGAGCAAACGACGACGTTTTGACGTTTTGTTTTTTAATAATATGATTTCTGATGAGCTAAACGACATAGTTTATATCTTTTTCTTCTAAAACTAATGAAGCCTAAAACTAACGTAGCTGCCACATAGACCAGCGTTAACAGAATATTTAACAGAGTTATGTAGGAAATTGTTTTTAGCACAAAAAAAAGATTAAGGAAGATTTCAAATTAAATCAAATATTAAGGATGCAATTCAAATTCTCATAACGATTAAATATGTTTATGCACGGTATATAAGTTGTGGTCTAACTTTAACATTTTGGGAAAGTTTGGGTCGAAAATGACCAATTTTCCGTATCTTAGTACTAAAGTTTCAAGTTTGATGCATTCAATATGATTATATGAACACAATACGTAACAATTATAATTTCACCAAATTGTAACATGTATTACTGTATTACTGTTAATTTAAATCGAACTTATATGACTCAGTTTAAAATTAATAATTATTTGTTTGTTATTTTTTTAAGACGCTCAAAATTATGTCATCTGCTCTTATCATCCGAAAACTCGAAATCCTTATTTTTAATTTTTTTTTCTGAAGCAAATTAAAAGCACATTGCATAAGAAATCCTCATAAGAAGTTACACTAACGGATTGGACAGTCTTATTAACAGGAACAGGATTGCACTTTCTCGGAATTAAATCTTAATGATGTAAGAGGTTTGTTTCTCCTTCGCTTTGCCTTGAGCTTTGCCGATTTCAATGACTATTCTTAAGCATTGTTTCATCTATCAGTGTAAACAATATTCTGTGTAACCATTTAAAATTAAAATTATATATATATATCTCATTTTTTAAACAAAACAAAATGTTGAACTTCAAAACAAAAGTAACACATCTAAGAAAAATATCACAATTTAAACCCACCAAAAAATATATATTAGAAGCATTCATTTATTTATACTAAAAAGCTCGAGAAATCTGATAATCTCAATGTCAATCATCATAAAGTATTTGGTGGTGGATATTTGACGGACCAGATTATTTTAATCAAAACACGTGTAGAGTTGAAGGCAGGCACGTGAAGAGTTGCACAAGTACACGACGTCGCGAGGGAGAAGTGCTATACATTGCAATTACACACAAGCTCTTAATTTCCATTTTGTTTGTTTACTTCCAATATGAATTAAGTCACTACGAGTTGACCCGCTCGAACAAAAAAAATTGTTATATCTATACATATATGTGATTGCTAACCATTACAAGTTTCATGATTATGTTATTTACTTATCGTAGACCCACATGTTATGTCACGTTTTTAGACTTAACCTTGTGTCCAATCTATTTATTTTATTGATATTATATATATGTAATTATCCGTATGTTACGTACGTACAAAAGAAGAAGTACGTATGCTGATTTTGATATGGAGTTGGGAGGCATGGACTCGTACATTCACATTTTTTAGTACTTTATACTGCTAAGAAGATGACCCAATCAAAAAAAATTAGACGAGTTAAGAGACTCTCACCTATTATTTTTTTAAAAGGATTTGCTTTTTTATTAGTACAGCATGCACTAAACACTATATAAAATGACATACTTTTGTAGACGACTAGACGGGTCGATAATGCAAAATCATAGATCACTATGGGTTCTTGAACAATCTTGAATCAAAGCCTGGTGGCGTGGGTTTGAAGTCTAACCATGCCATGCCATTTGTTAATTTATGGAATATACGTACCGATATACAATATATATATATATATATATATTAATCATCTATTCAATTCAATGCTAATGCATCATAATTTATTTTTTAATGCATCATAATCATGTCATGTTTTGGAATGTACAGCTTCGTATCAAACTTTGAGTTCTAGAAGAAATCATTATGCTCATTGATCGATCATTGATATCTTAGAGCATGTACATCAGGGGATCATGAGGGGTTCATGACACAGTTTTTGAGACAAAAGATCTTAATATTAAAGAGACAGTATCATCCCGACGAACCTGAAGAGACAGTATCATCCCAAATGAAGTATCTTTATTGATCGAAAATTATAATTTTCAAATTAAAAAAAAACAAAACTAAAACCAAAAAAAAAATGTTATTCTATTTTGGTGAACCTCTCTTTTAGGGGTTTACTGATATACATGTTCTTAGAATAATAGTTTGAAAATTTCAGGAAATAGGATTTTATTATACTAGTTTAGATTCGAGAGAAGAAGCCTTAAATATACTTTTAAGTTTTATCATCATATAATTAATCTCCAGCTCATATATATAGGTTTCACTGATGTTAATTACTGAGAAGCCAAATCTCCCATAATATTAGTTTTAATCCTAGCTCTCAAAGCTGATTAGAGCTATATATATGCATTTTTTGTTTGACACTATACATATTTGAATATACACATAAAACTATATAGCATTTTACATTCTAGATACAAATTGTATATCGTTCTATCAAAGACCAAAAAAAGAGTAGACATATATAAACTCATACGTTGATGATGATGATGATGTTTATATAAAAGATGTAGGGTTGAGTACTTGAGTTGTGTAAGGAAATACTGAAAAGAGTTATAAAAAAAAAAAGTCTTAGCAAAATGTTATAGAATTCGCATCTTAACTAAATTTCAAATAATTAGTGTCGTGATTAATAAAACAGCAAAAAACCGGATTGGGAACTAATTAAAATTAAATTTTTATTCTATTTATTACTCCAATTGGTATAGCTTTTGTTTGTGGCATGGCTCTTGTGGTCTTGTTTACATGATTATTAATTATTATACACACAGAAGCAAGTATTTTATCCACTCTCAAATTTAGAATACTGAACTTTTCCTCGATCAAATCAAAATTCTAAACTCGAAAATCTTCTTGTACTATATATTAAATATTTCTAAAATTGAATAATCTTAAAAAGTAAAGATATAAATACTATTCAAGTATTTCCATGTCCATGATGCTCAAACGAATGTACATATATATTTTTAAACTCATCAATTAATGGGCTCGCATTTTATTTAATTTAATTTGTCACAAGATTATACTACACTTGTAAAATTTAAAAAGTTAAAGCGTAATCACAATGATCACTTAGATTGCCGTTTACATCCGTACGTTCCATGCTTTGGGTCTCTTTATTACGAGTGAATTGCCTAAATTAATTAGAGAGTTATATTAAATGGGGGTGGAGAATCTAATCTATAATTAATAATTTTAAAACATCTGTCGTAAGGGGTTATATCTCCGATCATATATATAGGAGCTCCTGCTAATAATCAAAACACAAGAATTGCATATATATACACACTAATAAAAAGTAGAGTGAAGAATGGGGAAAGGAAGAGCACCTTGCTGTGACAAGAGCAAAGTAAAGAGAGGGCCATGGAGCCCTCAAGAAGATCTTACTCTCATCACTTTCATTCAAAAACATGGCCATCACAACTGGCGATCTCTTCCCAAGCTTGCTGGTTAGTCTCGATCTCTCCCTATTGGAGATTCATATGGATATTGTTTCTGTAATACTCCATAGTCCATATATATATAAAGAATTAATTCGGAGTTAATTTTGATGATTAAATGAATGAATGATAGGATTGATGAGATGTGGCAAGAGTTGCCGACTGAGATGGATAAACTATTTGAGACCAGACGTGAAGCGAGGCAACTTCAGCAAAGAGGAAGAAGATGCCATCATCCACTTCCATCAAACCCTTGGAAACAAGTTTGTCTCTTATATATCCCTAGCTACCATCGATCTTCTCTTGCTTAATTTGTGATAATATTATAGCACGTAGAGATTAATTATATGTATATAAATATCTGATCAGGTGGTCAAAGATTGCGTCCTTCTTACCCGGAAGAACCGACAACGAGATCAAAAACGTGTGGAACACTCATCTCAAGAAACGACTCCCTCCCAGTTCATCTCCCTCCTCCTCATCTTCTTCATCCATTTCTTGCACTCATGATCAGACCGCAGAAGCAGATCATGACAAGAATTGTGCCATTTTTCAAGAAGACGAGAATTCAGGGGTTAATGAGAGCCAAGGCTCACCTTCTTCGTCTCATATCCACACAAATCCAGAGCTTCTTAAGGTTGATGAAGAACTCCACGATATCCAACTACTTCTCGACAATGACGACTTTGAAGATATAACCTCCGCGTTTCTTAAAACAAACGAAATGTTATATCCAGAGCAACCACTAGACTCGCTTCCTCATCACCACCAGACTCACCTTTCAACGGAGTTTCACAATGCATGGGGAGCGGCTCAAGAGGTAACCAAGCCGCAATCACATGACCATCCTCATCAACAAGATATTCCATGTGGATTAACTGAAGAAACAAATGACGGAGAATTTGACTTGTGGTCGCAGCTGGTTGAATCAAACTCGCCTACCCCTAGTCCTAGTAGTGAGGACTTCAATGAGTGGTTCAACTTCATGGACAACCAAACCTGCTTTGATGACTTTACTTTGGTCGGAGAAGTTTGTCTATGAATATATATGCATGATCATCAGAATGTATGATGAGTGTTGTCTCGACTTTTTGAGTATATTACAAATATTACTTGAAAAACGCATGCATCATATCTTCAACTATAACATCATATATGCCAAACTATATTAATCGAAATTGAGAAGAGTCATCTTTTTACGTGCATGAGAGCTCTATGATGTTGGTTCCTAATTTTCTGCTAGATTTTCACACCCAAACAAGTCTTCGTCTCTCTCCGTGGACTGGTCGCTATATATCACTCTGGGAGGCTCCACTTAAATAGGACAAACAAATGGCAGGTTGATGATGGCTAGCAATGCTTGGCTGCTTCTTCAGCCATACGTACCGAGGGAGCATCAAGTCATGTACTTTTAATTTGGATTACTTAGCCTAAATACAAACAACGCTTTGCAATGCAACAAAGAATATTATTCAATAATAAGAGCCAAATTGTATTCTACACAGCTTCCTTTTTTACTTTTTTTTTTTTTGGTTTAAATTTTAAAATTTATACCTGTCCTCTGGATTTTTCTGTTGCATACAACATATTAGGAACTAGCCATTACATGACAAGAACACAAGGCCCAAAGATAAGAAAAGAAAGCTAACTAAGCTATAAAGGAGAGCAAATACAACTAAGGTAAAATTCAATAAAATCCCCTTTTTTTTTTTCTTGGAACAACTAGCAAATCGAATAAACAGCAACAAATGAATTAGGAGTAGATCCGAGCGAGATACCTGAACAATGTCACGTGACTTCTCCACCGCATCGCGCATGGCGTCACGTGTTCGCCCAACTTTTTCCACGAAACCGTCCGATGGAAAATAATATAAGAAAATAAAAAAGAAAATTTCTGGAATAACCCAATGAAAAGCATACAGGTGGACAATGGGGGGGGCGTGCTCTCTTCAGCATTTTCGACACGTGTCTTCTGGGCGAAATGGATACCATCCGTAACGCTTCATTAAAGAAAGCAGCCGAACTCAGTAACTCGCATTCCATCTTTCTCACACTTTAACTCAACTCTTTAGGATTTCTTCAGTGACAGAGAGAGAGAGGTCAATGGTAACTCTTCTCTCTTCGATCTCTCTCCCATTGTTTATTTTTTCTTTGAATTTGTATGTTGTAAGTGCTGAGTGCTTGAGTTGAATCTGCTGAGTTGATTTCGGGCATGCATGCGCTTATTTGTCTCTGCTAATTTCTGAATTGTTTCGTATTTCTATGCTCTCTTTTTGTTTGTTTTGTTATGGGAATTTATTAAAATCGACAAATCTGTGTTTATTTTGTAACCAAATTTGCCGGTAAATCTGGTCAATGAGCTGAGAAGTGGATGCATGCATGCTCATCATCCCAATCGTGTTCATAAATAGCAAAATTAGCTCTGAGATTCTTGAGACTTGCTTGTGCTTCCCATTCCCATCTCCATCTCCCTTGTTCTGTTGCAGTTTTGATAGATTAAGAGAGTCAGCATTAATTAATGGAGCATTCAGAAGAGGGAGTGATGGAGTATGCTCCTCATCCTCCTCGTGCACAACAACAAGCCCACCACTTCCACCAGCAACAACAGCAACTCCATATGTTCTGGGCTAACCAAATGCAAGAGATCGAGCAGACCACTGATTTCAAGAACCACACCCTTCCCCTGGCTCGCATTAAGAAGATCATGAAAGCCGATGAAGATGTGCGAATGATCTCTGCGGAGGCCCCCGTCATTTTTGCCAAGGCCTGTGAGATGTTCATTCTCGAGCTCACCCTCCGTGCTTGGCTCCACACCGAGGAGAACAAGAGGAGGACCTTGCAGAAGAACGACATAGCCGCTGCCATTTCAAGGACAGACGTCTTTGATTTCTTGGTCGACATTATCCCCAGGGACGAGCTCAAAGAAGAAGGCTTAGGGGTAACCAAAGGAACCATACCAACACTCGTCGGTTCTCCGCCATACTATTACTTGCAGCAGCAGCAGCAGCAGCAGCAAGGTCTGATGCCCTGGAGCACAGGGGAACCATGATCAGCTTTATAAATACTTTTTCCTCTTTATCTTCAAGTCATAATAACACTAGTTTTGATCTGTATCCTATAAAGGCAGCTCTGCTGGGTATTGTTTAGCTTGCTCTCTTCATCCATCCTGATCCACCACAACATGGTGTATGCTTTCTTTCTTTTTTCCATTTCTAGTGTGTTCTTCTGTAATGATACATATTAATTAGTATGCTCCCCAGATGCTCTACATCTATGGTGTTCCAAGTTCCTTTTTCTCATCAGCATCAAAAGAAATAACAAGAGTAATTAATAGAGGTCACAAGACTTCATAGGGGAGACAAAAGATACAGTCTTCATGTGATTGCTACTTTACAACCATTTTCTTTTAAGCTATCAAAAGCTTGATTGATTAAGGCAAGAGAACCACTATGACGCTGGTGCTTCAATCATGTGCTTGGAGACATGGCTTCCTCAATCCTTGTGATCACAATTCTAAGAGGACTGAAAAAAAAAAAAAAAAAAAAAAAAATTCTAAGAGGACTGATTCCCACTTGGAGAGCTTCAACAACGGCCCGATGTGCTGCCTTGTGCCACTTGAGCAGATTGTAAGATTGACCACCTGGCTTGATTCTCCATACACATGTATAATCAAAAGTACGGCAATGCTTAACAATATGTACACTTGACACTTGTGCACGAAAAGTAGAAGCTTATAGACTAGGCCACATCAGATGTATGATTTTCACTAGACCTGATCCATCGGATAGCGGTGGTTCCAGAAGTACTGAGATGCTTCAGCTGCAATACCAGCAAAAAGAACCATCCTATACATAAGAGAAACTGAACCACCATTCATTCATCAGGGTTGTGAATGAGACAGAGTTAACAAGGAAAGAACAACATTGGAGGGAGGAGACAAGGGTTTGAGAACACTCTCATCTGCATTCAAACACGCATCTAAGACTTGTCAATCCCGGGATAGAAAGAGATTTCACTTCAGAGACATAGAGAAGACAAACGAGGCAATTAGGAAAATTTAGAGGTGGAGTTCAATAGACGCAAGACTATAATTCATTGGGCCGTATAATAGTAAATGAGGCCCATTTATTTCTCATTTTACAAATGAGCCCTTTACGTACTCATATTTGTGTATTTAAGTCAAAATTTAATTTTAGTTCCTATATATGGAGTATAACTTTTTATTATTATTAACACCACTCTTTTCGTCTTCTTCTTTTTTGGAAAAATCGATCGATCTATTATGAATGAGTTGTATAAAATCTTTCTTTATGTTATATTGTTATATCAACTACTCCATAGAGAGGGAAGAGAGTCTTGCGTGTGTACTAGTTTCTCAAATCAATCTCGGTGATAAGTGCTTAATTGCAAGACTAGTACTTTCATTCTGAAAATAAACTTTTGCGATAAATCAAGGACCCGAAACGAAAGTGAGGGGATGCAAGTAGACAACAAGTAAAAGAATATAGGACAAGTCGGCGGGCGTGATATCTCTCTGGCTATCTATCATCTGCATCATCTCCCTCCCGTGAAGGAAGAAGAGCCGTATGGCTATGGCGGCGTCTATTCTCCAGGCAGCTCCGCTCTCGCTCAATAACAACAGTACGCTTCCTCGACCCTTTGGGATGAAGAAACTCTGAACCTTTTTTGTACATCATGATGATTTCGTTATTAACCTAGGCTTTTGCTCGATTGTAGAAAACCCGCGGATTAAGGCGAGGGTTGAATTGCTCGGCGGAATCAAAAGGCCAAATAGAGTAAGCGTGCTTGACAGTCGAAAGCGATCTCTTTTGATATGCCACTCCGCCGTTGTAAGTCATCTTAGACCTTTGAAAAACTTCCAAATTGATCTAATTTAGGGTTAAACATTCGAGGTGCTTGTTGTGTGGAGTTTCCTTATCATTCATTTTGATCTTCTTTCTTCTTCTTCTCCGTCTTCGTTGTTTGCAGAACGCGAAATGCAGCGAAGGACAAACACAAACCGTTACTCGTGAGTCACCAACAATAACCCAGGCTCCTGTTCACTGTAAGAAGCCCACAATTTACTCCTTTGATTTGGCGGCTTTGTTCTAATCATGGCCTCAGAGGCATTTCCTAGTCTCCTCTAGATTTAGATACAAAGTCCCGGAAAGTGTTTCATTGTCTTGTCTTATCTGAACTAGTAGTTGTTCGGAGGAGGTGGTTTTAAGAGGTGGTTTGTTGGATTTGCAGCTAAGGAGAAATCACCAGACCTGGATGATGGAGGAGCCGGCTTCCCACCGCGAGATGATGGAGATGGAGGTGGAGGAGGAGGTGGTGGAGGCAACTGGTCTGGTGGCTTCTTCTTCTTTGGTTTTCTTGCCTTCTTGGGTTTATTGAAAGATAAAGAGGGCGAGGAGGATTATCGAGGGAGCCGAAGGCGATGATGAATATATTGATGATGATCATTGTGGGTCATTGGATTAGTTTTGGTGCATACAACTTGAGAGAATCACATTACAGGCAGCTACAGGTCTCATTTTGTGTATCTGCTTCCTTGAGCTGATGACTGCATATGATATGGCATTGTTTGTTCTCGTATCCAATAGATGCTCGGTATCCAAAGCTTGTTTCTACTACGTATAGATATTATAAAGACTCGAAAGATCTAGTGGAAGCTACACGGACAACATGTGCAACAACTCACTCCTAAGTAGGCTATTCTCTTTCTGCAAACAGCAACTCACACAGCCCGGTTGCACAATCTAATAGTCAAATTGACACATCTACACATTACTCGGTTGTCATTCATTACTCAGGCAGGACTAAACCCGTTTAGTACACCAAAAGTCGATCATTGATGTAGAACTATGAGTAGATCTAATAGTATCGGGCTAAAAATAAATAATAAAATAGACCCAGCCCAGCCCAATTAAAGATAGATAGCAAGTGGCCCATTGTGATGCGTGAAAAGCCTATCCACCCAAAGTTGCAGAGCGAAGAAATGGCGACGATGGCAATGGTGGCCGTGGTGGGTGTGCTCCAGCTTCCCTCCCGCCTCCTCTCTTCCTCTTCCTCTCTTCACCAAATTGCTTCTTCTTCGTCTTCGAAGGTGAATTCAGGTGTAGCTAAGGTGGTTCTGAAAAAGGGTAAGACTCAGCTCTTCAAAGACGGAAGCCCAATGGTGTACAGTGGAGCCGTAGACAGGATCATTGGAAAACCGCCCCCTCAGACCGGAGATGTTGTCATTGTCGCCGATGGCTCCGAGAATCCCATTGGTTGGGGTTTGTATAACTCCGTTTCCATGTTCTGTGTTCGCCTTATGCAGCTCCAACACGAATCCACCAGGTTTCTTTTTTTTTTTGTTTTTTTTTATGGAATACAGCTAGCTATTGTTTATTCTCTTCATATTGAATCTTGGATCTTCTTCTTGGCTTGTGATAGAGATCCTTGTTGTGCACTCAACATTGAGAAGCTTGTCGAAGCTAGAATCACTCAAGCACTTGAGCTGCGAAACAGCTTGGGACTTCCCTCGGCTACTACTAATGCTTATCGTCTTGTGAACAGTGAAGGAGATAGGTATTCAATCACTCACTCATCTTAACAGATTTTTCTGCTCCGCTCTCATAGAGTTTCATATACTTCTGTTGCTTTTATCTGCAGATTGTCTGGATTGATTGTGGATGTATTTGGAGATATAGCTGTGGTTGCATCCTCCGCTGCTTGGCTGGAAAAGTACAGGAGTCAAGTGGAGGCTTGCTTGAGATCAGTCCATGGAATTAATCATATCAACTGGAGACCGTCTCTCGATGTCCTCAAAGAAGATGGGTTTGATATATCGAGTTTGAAACAAACACAATCATCTAATCTTCCCCAGAGATTAATGGTACGGTGGGTGGTCTTGCTCTCTCTCTCTCTCTTCCTTATCTATATGATTATATGAATATGAATATGGGTGTGTAATGTGACCTGACCTGAGTGATGCTCTTTCTTCTCTCAGGTCGTGGAAAACGGCATCTCTTACGCAATCTCGCTAGAGGGACAGAAGACAGGGTTCTACACAGATCAACGTGAAAACCGTCACTTGATATCAACAATCTCTGCTGGTAAAAGAGTTCTTGATCTTTGCTGCTATAGTGGTGGATTTGCACTCAATGCAGCGAGAGGAGGTGCTACCAGTGTCGTGGGTACTCTTTATATATATATATATATATATATGTATATTGATCGTTACGACGTTATCCCTCCTACCTTTAAGCATTGCCTTGCGAATCGTCTGATCAAACACTTTTCAGGAATTGATTCATCTTCACCTGCTTTGGAGCTCGCCAGAGAGAATGTAATCCTCAACCATATGGATCCAGGGAAGGTTGTTTTCTTGAAGCAAGATTCGATAGAATTCATGAAAGGTGCTCTGTCAAGGGAAGAGACATGGGACATCGTCATCCTGGACCCTCCTAAGCTAGCTCCGCGGAAAAAGGTGACTTTGGGATTGATCAAAAATAAGAGTAGATGTTTGAGTGTTTGTTGTTACGGAAATGAGATTGCATCAAATGTGGATGCCAGGTTTTGCAAAACGCGGCAGGAATGTACAGAAATCTCAACTCGTTGGCAATGAGATTGACAAGGAGCGGAGGTCTTATGATGACATGCTCATGTTCAGGGGCGATGACGCAGAGCGGCAAGTTCTTGGGGATTCTTCAGAGCGCTGCTGCAATGGCGGGAAAGAAGATCACAGTGGTGAGGGAGGCAGGAGCTGCGTCTGATCACCCACTCGACCCATCTTACCCTCAAGGCCAATATCTCTCCAATATTCTGCTACGGGTGCTTTGATAATCTCTGTCTTTTTTTTTTTGGTTTTTGGTGTCAACAAGCATAATACCAAAATTTTTAATTACACACTACGTACCTATCTGTGTATGGTTAAAAAAATAACACAAAGATAGATAGAGATTTGGGGACAAAAGTAATATATATTTTTTGAACAACAGCAAAGTAATATAATATTTTGCAAGCAAGGGTTACGAACATGGATGGATGGATAAGATTTACACACGTAGAGTAGAGCTCTCTCTCTCTCTCTCTCTCGCCCTCTCCAAGCTTGTTAACGACCTCCAGGATTTCTATTCCATGACAAGTAGGACGGATCTCCAAGTCGCCTGAAACAAAGTACACATTTGTTACTCAGCATGACACACTGTCTAAAGATAAGTGGCTGTATGCAGAAGTATAAGTACGTCATTATTACTATATTCTCGGCAGATATAGAACAACCAGGGTTTAGCAAGTCTTGCATAGAAGCGATACAATCACGACAACAACTACATTTGAAGGATTTCCGTACCTGGGTTTCACAAGGTACATTATGGTAAATGCGAGGGCCAAAAAGAAGCAGATCCCACCAACTGTCAAGTAAGCAATGCCTAGGAAATCGTTCTTCCCACCCAGCCAACTCGTCGTCGACAAAACAAGCTTCTTCTTTCCACTGAAACTGTAAGTGTTATAGTTGTTCTGCAGCGTAACATGTATGGTGTCACCCATCTCTAGGTCAGTCTCTATCTTTCCGTAAAGTTTTCTAAATGTTGGCAATGCTGCAGTTCTCATCCACACGATAAGATCTTCTTGTTCACTGAGCTGAAAAGGGGAAGAATGATGGCCACGGTCAAGTTGCTAAGCATCATTGTGGATATCAAGGGGAACATGCAACTGATTTCTACTAGTAAGGGTTTACCGGTATATCTGGATCTAGACTGGCACCACCTGTGAGATTCCCCTTCTGAAAATTCTTGGGGAAGACTCTGTTCCCAAACTTGTGTTCCTTGTCGCTCTTCCATGCAATGCCTTTTTTGTTTACAGCTAGACGTGTGTTGTTTCTCGATAAGGTGTACGTATCATTAAAAAGACTCCAAGCAACTAGACCACATGGCACAATCGGTTGCCCACCAACATCATCCTCAGGCTTGCATGCGCTTATTTGATTCTCGTATTTTGGACTTCTCAACTGTGAATCACTTCGGCTTTTCACATACCTGTTCATAGACACCACCAAGCGGTTAGAGCTACAAAAATATTCTATGTTAGATACACACATCGGTACATGTACCCGTCTACTCCATGATATCAATGTTGATATCCATATGGAACCCACACGTCCCATTCTAGGTCTAATTCTAACACTAAGTCCTCGCAACCAATATGAATGTGACATAGCAATGCAAAAATTATATCATGCCAAGGCACAGTTTGTCAACAGGTGTTATATACCTTCGGTGATTCTGGTAGAAGTTTTCGAGCTGGTAATAAACATAGATAGGCTGCTTCATGCGCTTTGTCACCTAAGAACGCCAATGGAGAAAAAAAAGAAGAGAAAGTGAACAACAAATGCAAAGGAAACTTATCAAAATCTCAAAGAAGGAAAGAACATTGCTGCATAAGGGACTCACTCTTAGAGTTCGGTTACAAGCTTTATCTCCACCTCCTTGAATATATGCAACCTTGTTAGTCCTAGCAGGTGCCGGAATGCAATCATTATCATACCGATCGACGATCTCCACAACCTAACCCAAAAGAGAAATGAAAGACGTGAGATAGGGAAGACAATCTGATGAGTAACAATGGGTCGTTGGCACTTACATCCTGGGAAGCGAAAAGAGAGATAACTCCAAGGGGGATAAAGATGACACTGACTATCAAAAATGTCGAAATGACCTGCAGAAAGGTGAAATAAAGCGTTTCTACAGAAATCTCATGTCCGAAACAGATATTACAAACTGCTAAAAAGGGAATCTTACCCAGCCAGGCGTAAGAATGGGCTTGCAAGCTGGAAGCTCCTGTTGTGTGAACTTCGAATCTGCAAGAAATCATTTGCGAACAAAATCTCATTTTTTTTAACCATAGCTTTTGGCCAAGGTTGCCAAATCTGTTTTTTTTTTTGTTTTCTGAGAAAAAAAAACAACTTATGGTAATGGAAATTCAAAACCAAAACGATGAATTTGCTAAAAGTAATAGTGAAATTTTTTTTTTTTTGAAACTAAGTAATAGAAAATTTGAGTCAATTGAATAGTGAAGAAGAATGTCGATCGTTATCATTGAAGAAGAAAAAAAACTAAAACAGCGATCAAAATAATCGATCAGGAAGAAAAAAGTGACCTAGAGATACATTTTACACGATCAAAACAATCGAATCCAGGGAAACAAAAAAAAAAAAAGAACAATTCGATTAAGAACCAAGAGTCAACGACAAGCCAGAGAAGATGGAAAAGGAGGAGGGGGAATACACTTAGGCCGCTTAGAATTCTTCCTGGCGGCGGAAGAATCTCCCGATCCGGCGGTCGCCGCGCTGGACGACGCCGTATTGGAGCTCATCGTGGAGAAATTGACGATATATACCCTGGAGGATGTATCCGGAATCTAGGGAGAGCGAGATGGAAGGAAAAGGTGAATTTTGTCAGCGAGAAATGGGGAGGACAAAGGAAATGAAGAAAAGTGGAGAGGAAGAGAAAGAGAAAGAGGAAGATTCGTCGTCGTCAACGGAAAGCCTTTGTAAATCGTATTATTCCCTATGAATGAAATCATTCAATTCTTTGGATCAACACTATAGGTGAAAGGTTCCTTTTGGGCTTCATAATGGGCTTTATCTATTTTTTTGTTTCACGGGATTTTATTGCATGTTGCAAGAGTTTTTTTTTTTTTAAGTTGAAATGGATATCACTATTATTCTGTTAAAAATTTTTAATTACGACAAACTATTATTGGAGAAGGTCCCATCATTTTTTGGGAGTCTTGCTAATTTGCCAATCCATTGCCTATATCATCCTTCTCTTGATTGTGAAGAAAACATTAAAAGTTTGATCGAGCTTCAAGGTCGACATGGTCTCATGACTTCTCACAAATTTACTTGTGTCCTTTTGGTTGATGTTATTCTAGAAACAAACTCATCTTCAAGAAACAGATTCCAAGACCCTCTAATTAAGGATGTCAGTCTCTTAAGGCTGAGGTGAAAGAATGGTTAGATGCAACCTTTGGAGTTATAACCCACGACAACACTGTCCATGAGAATGATTAAAAGTTGGACACGACCTCCGACCCTGCTGGTATATATAATATAATGTAACTTTGATGCTGCTTTTTAATATTATTTTTTTTCTAGAGAAACACCAGCTGGTTAGATTGTTAGAGAGGAAAGAAGGGCTGCAAAATATTGCGCCTGCCTCATCGCACTTAGGTGATTCTTCATCGGCTTTGGAAGCAGAAGGGTTATCAAACAATCGTTTCTGAAGGAGATAACAGGTATCTCATTCGCATACTTAACGGAGAAGATATAAAGCTTTCGGAATCCATAATCTTTGCAAGGAAATATGGAGATGCATGGGCAAGGAAACTCATCAGACAGGTTATATTCCAAAAGTGTAAAGCGGAACTACAATGAACCTGTTCATTAATTGGCTGGCTAAAAACTCTTCTCGTGTTTATTCTTTCTACTCCAATTGTATTAACCCTCCTCCTTGCTTAACTCCTCTCTTGCATAGAGACTATGTATCTTTAACTCTTTAATTAGATTAATGAGATTGCTTTTCGTAGAAGAAAAAAAAAAAACATCTTTTTTCATTAATCTTTGATTTGGATCCTTTTCCTTCAAATATAATATAGATTAGATTACAGACAGAAACAATGAAAAAGTGTCGATTATAAATGTATGTGTAACGTAACTTCCGTTTCCTTCCTACACGACAAAACCTACCAACAATCTAAGTAGTAATAAGTACCCACACCCTTAAGATAAAGATAGAATAATCCATTGTTTAAATATTTTTTCTTTTTTTTTTTTGTGGTAGAAAAAAAAAAAAAAACTCCACAACCACAAAGCCTAGCTTAAACAATCGAGAAAGAAAACCTATATATATATATATATATATATATGAAGAGCGTATCAAAATATATAATTTGGTAATTAGTCGTTGAGACAAAGAAGTGTGAATATGAATTATCAAAGAGATGCGGGGAAGATGGTGGGAGACTTAGAGAAAGAGAAGATCTCGTCAAGTGTCCCATTCATCGAGTCTCTGCATTGAATGTCTTGTTGCTTGGAGATGTTGATTGACATGATCTCCGCCTCGTTCATAGAAAGCTGAGGGAAATCTTGGAGTTGGAGAGGAGGGTAATTAGGATGGTAGGGAAGCTGAGTCGTGTAGTTTGAAAAAAGATGATCGTCGAGAAGAGAAGATGAGAAATGAAGGGCGAAAATGGATGAGCTGTTTGCTTCGTCTAAAAGGATCCCTTGAGTGAGCTCTGAGGAGGATGTATCCGCCGATGCTATTTTAAAGCTCTCATCATCTTCTTCGCTTTCTCTTTCCATTTTCTCCTCAACATTATTCCCATCACATTTTCTCCACTTCTTCTCCTCTTCTTCCCCATCTTTTCCAACACTGGTACTCATCTCTTCTTCTTCGCATTCTCCTTGTCCTTCTTTTCTCTTTGGAATTTGTATATTCTTCTTAAACACACGGCACAGTGCATACGACTCCTGTTTTACGTCAACGACATTAGCTATCTATATCATAAATGATATGTAAACATCTGAATGAATCTTGTGCATGGGAAATGGTAATTAATCAAGAGTTACCTTGAAGGAAGAGGAGGAGGAAGAGGGAGTGTGAGCGAGGCGATATTCATGCATAACCCAATTAGTACGAAGGCCATGAGGAGCCCTTCCTCTGTAATACACGAGCGTTTTCTTCATCCCCATCTTCATCTTCTTTGATTCTACTGACCGGTCTTTCCCTGTGGCTTTCCAGTAACCAGCTCGGGTCGCACGGTTTGTCCTCGACCCATTGGGATACTTCTTATCCCTTGTGCTGTAAAAGTACCATTCCATGTCGTTCCCCGGCAAAAATGACTTCTCTGTTCCTCGTTATTCAATTGTAGCTTTAGAGGTGTATTCAAGAATCAAATTTAGAAAGAGAGACAGAGAGAGAGAGAGAAAGAGAGTATATATACGTACCAGGCAAATCCCATGGTTCGCATTTATAGAGATCAACTTCGGGGATGATCTCAAGCTCAATGGTTTGGCCGTTGACCTTCCTATCCAGATAGTACGCCACTAGCTCTTCGTCTGTTGGATGGAACCTGAAACCTGGAGGCAAACTCATCGGCGCCATTCAAAGTAGAGAGGAAGGGAGATAGAGAGAGATAGAGAGAGAGATGGTGGATTGTAGCTTCTGATGAGGGTTTACGTACGATATGTGAGGGAGACTATATATAAATAAATAAATAAAAACAGGGATCGGAGACGGTGTAGGAGATATGATATGGGAATGTGTAAAAGTATGCCATGGGATTGGCATCTTGTGAGATTAATAATTTGTCTTACTTTGGGTCGCTTTTTGGTCAGTGTTGTTAATTTGTCATATGATACTCATCATTATATATATATATATATATATATATATATATATTTTGAAATAATATAGTAAGCAAACAAGTCTGGCTTTTGAAGATTCTGTAAGTGTGAAAACTCAAGTAGGAGAGACGGAAAAGGTAAGGACTAGGGAACAAGACCCCATCAGATCCAAACTTAATTCTCACATGATGTAACTATATGTATAATATGAAAGATGTATAATATGTTACGCCACACACAAGTTACGCGTTCATAATGCATTATGGACACATAGCTCTTAACCATATTGCACTATGGTCTATGGTAATCCTGGCGACTAGCGAGACGTTAAACGTGGTTCATGATAGTGGCTCCCACTCAAGGCCCCTTGCGTTTTATTTTTTATTCTATTTTCTTCTATAATTGCTTTGAAACAAAAAGAAGGCTTTTAATGATTCAACAAATTAAGGGGGACCTACCCATCTCTTCTCAAACCAGGTCTACCTGGCGACACCTAAACACTCTTTTTCTTTTTTGGTTTGACAGTTTTAAAAAACAAAAAAACCAGAAAAAAATGAAGGGACTTGTGCTGTATGGTCTTAAGAATTGAATTTATGGAAAAAAATGAAAACAAAAGCGGAAGCATCCAAATCGCCTTTGGCTTTAGCGTTGGGAGGCTTCTTTAATCACTTTTACATATGGATTAAAGACGTTTGTTTGCCTCTTTTACATCATTACTCCCACACAATCTTTGACTCATCTCTCTCTCTCTCTCTCCCCGCCCTTCAATTTTACTAAACTCACGGTCAAATATCTTTTGCCTCGACCTTCGGCTTCGATCCAAAAGATATATAAAATAATAAAAAAGTGACATCTTCACATGTTTAATACAACTCAAACGTTTTTTTTTTTTTTTAAGTTTGTGGGTTATTTGATCAGTGTTTTAAAACGCGTTAGTTGCTCACTAGGCGCGGACGAATGTCTAACGGCTTACAACCGTATGTGCGGAAGCTTAGATTGGTGTTTATGCCAACGAGTCACTTTATATATATATATATCTATATTTCTGCTATACTAAGTTACTAACACTTGGCTTGCAAGTTGCAATAATTCCGTTGACATTTAATTTTTCCGTATTACACATTTCTTAAACAACTAATCCACAAAATTCCTACCATATGATTTAACTGAAGGAAGAAATCAAACTTTTTTTTATTGTCAACAAAAGACGTGTCAGACTGTGGTTGGTGGAAGGTTTTAATTTTTTTTCTTCTCATTTATATTTGCACTCTCTCTCAATCGACGAATCTTTCATTTAGCTTTATTTATTTTTTAAAAACCCCACTTGAGATTCTACCATTGGATGAATACAAAATTTAAAATTTTTTATGGAATTATTAATTTTCAAATTTTCAAAATTTTTATTAAATATAATGATAAGAATCCATGAGTGGTTCTTACCATTGGAGATGGAAAACGGATACGACACTAAATAATAAGATTAAAGCATTTTATCAACCCTTTCTATTTTCATTCACATGTACCAATTACTCAAATTGTTATAATTGTTTTGTTTTTTTTGAACAATTATAATTGTTTTTTTTTTTCTAGAATTTCTGTATTATATTGATACGGAGCAGATTACATATGACATAAACAAAGAGGAAGAAAGAGAAAAAAACAACCTTACACTTAAAGGGAACACCGGTTTGAACAAGACCAGGTCAAGAGCAATACACAAGCACCAACGAGATCAAGAGTCTCGAAACCACAAAGAAAGAGCATCTTCAAACCGAGGAAGATGCCGTCTAGCCGAGCACGTATTCCTTATGCCTCGGTCGATGATCTTGAGCAGGACATTGACGGGAGTTTTTATACCTTTGTAAATCCTTGCATTCCTCTCTTGCCAGATTGCATATACCATCGATTGAGTTGCTATGAGCCTCAAAAACGCCAGAGATGAGTTCCGCTGGGGAACCATGGACCAGTCGAGAAGATGATTCCAGTTACTGAATCCAATGAATGGACATAGAAGCTTCCGGGCGCACCATCTCCAGATTTCATGACTATAGTGACATCTTAAGAAAAGATGATTTCTGTTTTCACCGTAGATTTCGCAGAGATAACAAGTATCATCTTCCACTACACCCCATGATAATAGCCTTGAGAGAGTTGGCATTCTGTCAAGACAACAAAGCCACATAATGAAAGAGTGCTTCGGGACAGCCCCCGAAAACCATACTTGTGTGTGCCAAGCAACATCTTGTCTCTCTTGTCTAATCAAATTCCAGGTATCAGAGAAAATAAATGTGTTCTTGGCCTCTCCCGACCTACGGAGCCAAAGGAATTGGTCTGGAGCATGAGAAGAAGGGAGGGTCGAGGTAAGGTGACACAAAAGAAGTTCTGCATTGTCAGACCTTGCGCCTCTAAATATCCAGCCCTCCTCGGTCATAGCTTGCACTACCGTAGCATCAAGAGGGAGACCCAACAGTATGTGCCCCTCAGATCCCAAGAAGTCAACTAACCGACCAAACGGCGTCCATCTATCAAACCAAAAAGAGCAGGATTATCCATTTCCGATCGCACATGAAAGATACTTAGACACTAACGGCCTGAGCTTGAGAATTTGTTTCCACATTGAGCAGCTTCTACCATTAGGCGACAACTGCCAAAAAATTTTTCTCCTCAACTTGTTTTTTTGACACCAGACAACCCACAAAGACCCCGATGCAGAGAACAAGAGCCAGATCAACTTCAGACCATAAACCTTGTTCCATAGACCAATATTCTTTAGCCACAAGCCGCATTCGCTCTTAGGAGAACACACTTAGTTCCAATTAACCTTGGCTTGCTTTGGTATTTCAGCTGTTCTCGACCACAAAAACCTGCGACAGAGCTTATCAAGATCCTTAATACACCGCTTAGGAAGAATAAAAGCTGCACACCAGTAACCCACAATATTTTGGATAACAGAGGTTAGAAGTTGTAGTCTCCCAGCATATGATAACGGCCTAACTGTCCAAGAGCTTAACCGATCTCTGATTTTCTGGATGAGAGGTTCATTATAATTGTTTGTTCATGCTTATATTGTGATTAATTTCCAGAATAGCAAATATACGTACTAACGTATACATTAATTAGACGCAACACAGTTGTAACACTGTTAATTAAGTGATTTTTTTTTTAAAATTGTACGTAGATGTATAGTACTTATTATGAAAAAGCGGAAATAGAAATTGGTCAAGGCGGAACATAGCAATCAGGGATCATGGCTAGGGGAATCATGATGTCACATCATCTTCGCCATCAACATCAATCGCAATTCTTCTAAAAGAAAGGAAGAAAGAAAGAGAAGAAGAGTCTTGTTCAGAAAAAGTAGCATCTGATTCCCTACATGTCGGTTTCCACCTCATCTTTTTCATCTCATTTTAGTTTGTGCTGATCTCAGAAAGAAGAGCCTTTAAATAATATAATCCCTGTGTCTCCCGATTCTTACGTTCATCTCATATATATATATATTTTTTCACGCGTCTCAATATATAGCAGAATAATGAATAACGAGACCGTCTAAAACTTGTGTTGCCTTTTGCTTTTCTCCATGCATTAAATCTCGTTTTTACCCCTCTACGTTAGCCCTTATTCCCGCACATTGCCACCTTTGTCCTTGTTAAAAGTGGTCACACACTCATTACTCTTTTTAATATACTATTCATGCGGGAACACCTAGACACCTAGTGATTATTAATTAGCCATTTAAGATTAATACATTATTCAATTAGCCAAAGAAGATCTTCGTCAGTTGTAAGATTTTATTTTATTATTAACAGCTTGATGATTACTGTTAACTTAAAGCTGCCTACTATTAATTTGAGATCAGTACTATAGGAGGGTTCCAAAATAGATGATACTGGATGATGATGTAAAAAAAAAGATACTGGACAAACAGACAGTGAAACGTGAAAAACTGGGACAGGGCAGAGGCTGGACTTAAGCATAATGAGGCCCATATCGGGATGGGCTTAATTATATTGGCTGTTTGGGTCGAAATAGTGTGGCCCAACAGAGAGTCATCTCTCAGAATTTCACGGCGGAGCAGAGCTGATTCGTCGTTGATCACAGAGCATCGGTTTTTTTTTCTCACCGATCGTATATCTGGCGACACTTGTTTCCTATACCACAAAAATATTTCATCAGCGTCCATTGAAGCAAAAGATGGAATTCGAGAAGATCAAGGTGGCTAATCCCGTTGTTGAAATGGATGGTAAGTGTCAGTTGTCTCAAGATCCATGATTGCGATTAAGGATTTTCTGAAAGCTTCATCTTTTGTGCTATTGTCTTCGATTTGTTTGGTTGATTTTGCTTTAGAAGATTGGAGTAGATTTGATGGTGTCTGTTCCGGGATTGAGTGTGTGTGTTAATTATATATGGCTTGTAGTTTCTGAACTCTGTAACTTGACTCTTTCTTCTCTGTGTGCACACGCAGGAGACGAGATGACTCGAGTTATCTGGAAATTCATTAAAGACAAAGTAAAAGCTTGGACCTTTAAGATTTTAGTTTTATTCTTAGCCTCAAATCATCGGTTTTTAATTAACCTCTGGGTGGTATTCCACAGCTTATTTTCCCCTTCCTGGAGTTGGATATCAAATACTTTGATCTTGGACTGCCTAACCGCGATTCTACTAATGATAAGGTTACTACAGAGAGTGCTGAAGCTACTCTTAAGTATGTTTATTCGCTTTTCTCTCAAGTCTTCTTCCTTTTAACTTCACCTTTCAATCACAAAAGAGTCTCCTGTTATTCTTCACCTTTTCTACTGCTTTTCTAGCTCTAAGATGTTTTCCTGTATCCAAGCTCCTTTCACGGCTGTGATTTAAAACTGTCGTCTTCCATATTACGGATCCTTATGGTTTTAGCTTGGCATCAAGTTGGAAGTCTTCCCGCATTATAGCACCATTTTTTGTTTTTTAATCCTCCTCTTATCGTTGTATTTTCTCTGATCATGTTCAGGTATAACGTGGCAATCAAGTGTGCGACGATTACTCCTGGTATGTCTTCGGACCTGTGCAGAGTGTACTTGCATTTTGACTTACTAACCACACTTTTCTTTCGCAATCACTGTTCAACAACAGATGAAGCTCGTGTTCAGGAGTTCGGTTTGAAAAAAATGTGGAGGAGTCCTAACGGAACGATAAGGAACATTTTAAATGGTCAGTTTATTCTCCTAAAAATGGGGGGCAAATCGGTCGTCACTTTTCCTAGCTCGAATATCATTGTTATTTTTTGCAGGCACGGTTTTCAGGGAACCTATCATTTGCAGAAACATCCCTCGCATTGTAGCAGGTTTGTCAACAGCTGCCTTTCTCTATGGGTTAGCCATTTGCTGTACTTGTAACATGTGGAGCAACACAAATCCCTTCACTTTCCTTTCTTCAGGATGGACGAAGCCAATCTGTATTGGAAGGCATGCTTTTGGTGATCAGTATAGAGCTACTGATATCATTGTCAACGAACCAGGAAAACTGAAACTGGTTTTCGGTAAATCTCCTCATCCCGTTATTTGATATTGTAACTGAAAGCATCAAATGTGAAGACTTACCTTTATAGTTAGAGGGAAATCTGAGCACAGTCTGTTCTTCATTCATTTTCTACGTTGGGTACCGCTGCTTCATTTAGATCACACTATTAGAAAAGTTATAGGTGGAGCGCCGCGGATAAACACACTTTAGTACAGTCGATTTACAACTTATCTTTGACGGATATCCATTATTAAAAGTTTGGGATTTGACTAAGTCATCAACACAAGCTGTGCATTGAAGAAAATAGATGGGGGATCATTGTCCACGAAATCACTTACATGTGGAAATTTATAGGATTTTCTTCTTTTTCTTTTCATTCACTATTACATTGCATATCTTATGTTTGCAGAGCCAAGTGGATCTTCCCGTAAGACAGAATTCGAAGTCTTCAAATTCACTGGTGCTGGAGGTGTTGCTTTGGCCATGTATAACACCAATGAGGTAGATATTATTGAAATAGAGCTTGATATATTCCTCCTCTCCTTTATGTCTATATTACCTAAATCACTTAAAGAAGATTATATAGCTGCTATGATGGTCCTATTTTATTATTGAACAGTCTATTCGTGCGTTTGCTGAGTCGTCGATGTACACAGCTTACCAGAAAAAATGGCCACTTTACCTCTCCACTAAAAACACCATCCTCAAAACATATGACGGAAGGTGTGAATGAACTGGCCTCTATGCTTCTTGTTAGAGTTTCACTGAAATTAATTTGGTATCTAGTCATGCTTCCCTGACATTACGTTTTTGGATTGTTTCAAGATTCAAGGATATATTCCAAGAAGTTTATGAAACTAACTGGAGATCCAAGTTTGAAGCTGCAGGAATATGGTGAGATGTGCATGTCATTATAGCTACATCCGATTTCAGTGCGCCAGGAAAACTTGTTTGAAAAAGTTAATGAAATCCAGGTATGAGCATCGTTTGATAGATGATATGGTTGCGTATGCAATGAAAAGTGAAGGCGGTTATGTTTGGGCTTGCAAGAACTACGATGGAGATGTGCAGAGCGATTTTTTAGCGCAAGGTTTTATCCTTTAAAATGCCCTTTTTTTTTTGGTATTGGATCACGGCACGGGGAGAGAAACTCCAATCTTATTTCTCCTTATGAAACAAAATTTCTGCTGTCCAATGCAGGATATGGATCTTTGGGACTGATGACGTCGGTGTTGGTATGAAATGACACGGGCCTTTGCCAATATTTGGTTGATTTGTTTTTTTTTTTTGGGGTTAATATTTGATCTTTGTCTTTTTAAAATAGTTCCCTTGAATCTTACTATAACCTGAATGAAATTTTGGGGAAAAAATTGCAGGTTTGTCCAGATGGAAAGACAATTGAAGCAGAGGCAGCTCATGGCACAGTGACACGCCACTTCAGGGTTCACCAAAAAGGTGGTGAGACAAGCACCAACAGCATAGCTTCCATTTTTGCTTGGTCCAGAGGCCTTGCCCACAGGTATCGAATTCGCGCGTTGTCTAAATATTTTGGGAATGCTTGTTGCTATTCATTAATTGTGGCATTATAATGGATCGATATAAACACATACCACAGAGGTTTTCTACCATACATATACCTGGTTGATTTCATCTGAAAAGATAATTGGCATGTGATGTTTACCAGGGCAAAGCTGGATAGCAATGCAGCACTGTTGAACTTTACAGAGAAACTAGAAGCAGCTTGTATGGGCTCGGTGGAGTCTGGAAAAATGACCAAGGATCTCGCTCTTTTGATCCACGGACCCAAGTAAGACTTAATAAACCACCAAAAAGATGACTGAAATGTTGTTTGAAAAATTGGGTGGATTAATTTTATTAGCGTGTAAAATTGTTTAATTTGGACAGGGTTAGGAGGGATGCTTATGTGAATACAGAAGAGTTCATTGATGCGGTGGCATGGGAGCTAAGAAGAAGACTGTTAGGCAGCTCCAGGCTGTGACTTGTGAGGAGAAGATGTGTAGTAGTGTATATCCAAAAAAGGAAAGAGTCCTCCTTTCCAGTTTCCCATATATAATTGGTGTAGAATGTGTGTTGGTTGGAAATAAAAAGGATGGGTGATTTCTCCCCGAACCCAATGACTCCCTCCTCATTCTATCTAATGTCTTGAATCTCTCTGTATCTGTTGTTGTAGTGGCTACTTTCACTTGGTAATTCATGAATGTTATCTTTTCCCTCTTTGTATCGTTATATATATACAGTAAATGGTGTGGTGAAGAAATTAACGATTGAGTTTAATGCCTTGTCTTCTCTTTGCTGTTTTTGAGTTTCTGGATTTTTGAAAACAAAAAAAAAAGTTTTAGACTTGTTTTTGTGGCTACCAACGATCCATCTGAGGTTTTTGCTTTTGGATGTAAAAGAATTGAAACTAGCGATGTTGCTGCCTATTTGTTTGTGCGCAGAGAGATTACTATGATGAGCTTATTGTGGGTTTAATAAGAAGAAGAAGAAGAAGTAAAGATATGATTTTGATGATAACAGCTCCCGTCTTCACCACTTGTTCTCACCTTCTCCTCCGCCATTCCGATCATTCTTCTTCTCCTCCTCTTCGCCATGAATCAATTCATCGGAGCACAATTTCCTCTTTCAAAAGAAGAAGCGTCTCCACCTCCGCCTCCTCTTCTTCTTTGTTGCCGCAACCGCCGTCGCGTCCGGATAAGGCGTCGGAGTTGAGGGCTCTGTGGAAGCGATTCTGGAAAGTCGCGGCGCCTTTTTGGTTTTCCGAGGACAAAAACCAGGCCAGGCTGCGTCTCGCCGCCGTCTTCGCCCTTACTCTCGCCACCACCGGCATCAGCGTCGGCTTCAATTTCCTCGGCCGTGATTTCTACAATGCTCTGGCCAGTACGATTTTTCTTCAACTCTCCTTTCCACTTTTCTTCCTACTCTCTGATAAGTAACAACCTTTTTTTTTTGGTGTGTGTGTGTGTGTTGATTAGACAAAGACCAAGAGCAGTTCACGAAGCAGTTGCTCTATTACCTCTGTGGTTTCGCCGGCGGAATTCCGGTGAGCTTTCCACACGCTCCTCGAAACACTTTTAAACTGACTGACATAAAGAAAATGTTCCCTTGGATTATTTGCAGTTCTTTGTGCTAAGAGATTATGCAAAAGAGACTTTATCACTGAGATGGAGATCATGGATGACCAAATACTACCTGCAGCGCTATTTGAAAGATCAAACCTTCTACAAGATCCAGTCCCAATCTTTGATTGACAATCCAGATCAGCGCATTGTTGACGATCTAAGTTCCTTCACTTCAACAGCCTTGTCTTTCTCTTTGACGCTTTTCAGTGCCTCCATAGACCTCATCTCTTTTAGCAACATCCTCTTCACCATCTATCCTCCTCTCTTTCTCGTTCTCTTGCTCTACTCCTTTGGTGGAACTGCCATCAGTGTCGTTGTGGGCAAGGTATACTTCTTTTCCCTTAGCATGATACAGAATCTGCACTTGAGCTGAGCCATGCGCATGTCATCTTAGTGGGTAAAATTTTATATCTGGTTGAAGATGTTTCTCCATTGTGTCACTCAGCTGTGAATTTCTCAATTCTGTTTCGTTTCAGATTTTGGCATTTCTACCTTCAGCTCAAACTTCTTTCTTTTGTTCATGTACATATCTGAATATTATTTCTGTAACCCCACACAAGTTCTGTCATTGTTGCAAGATCACTTTCGTTTTCAGATTATGGCTCTCTTTTCAATTCTTTTTGTTTTGCTGTTGCATGCTATCTTTTATCGTATGCTCAGAGTCGTTTAGTTTGCTTGCTGTAGCTATTTCATATGAGTTCCATTTACATTTCCTTTTTGAGTTCAGGGACTAGTGAATCTCAACTTCCTGCAAGAGAAGAAAGAGGCGGACTTTCGTTACAGCCTTGTACGCGTGAGGGAAAATGCTGAATCGATTGCTTTCTACGGAGGCGAACAGAATGAAATGCAGCTTCTGCTTCGGCGCTTCAGAAGCGCTTTTGATAATTTAACTGTAAAGCTACTTCTCTCTCAACCATTCTCGACACTTTCTTATCCCTAGCTTGCTCAATGAGGTTCCTTCATTCTTTCACCTGCAGGAATTGCTGATAGCATCTAGAAATCTAGAGTTCTTCACTGATGGATATCGCTACCTCATTCAGATTCTTCCAGCTGCTGTTGTTGCCCCAATGTTTTTCTCCGGGAAAATTGAGTTTGGTGTCATTAACCAGTCAGTGTCAGCATTCAATCATATCCTAGGAGACTTCTCGCTCGTTGTTTATCAGTTCCAAGCTATCAGCGCTTTTTCAGCTGTCATTGACCGACTAGGTAGACTAGTTATGCATTCTGCACTCTCTCATAATGTTCTTCACTACTTGTTGCATAAACATCACACATACATTCCACACATGACCTCAGTTAAATATAGAACACTTGTGGCAAAAAATGCACTCTCTATAATTGGCCAGATGAAAAGACCAAGACCGCTGTTCTCTGTTCTGCTCGAAACTGCGTCATAATTATGACTTGGGTACAACTTAATCACAAAAAAATCTGTTACTCTGAATCAACTTTTACAGCTAAATGAAAATTTGCATTTGTTGTAGGTCTGGATTGACCTTTTACGCATCTAACCATATCAAGACTTCTTACAACTCAGGTGAATTTGATGATCTTTTGGATAACAACATCTCTAGAGAAAATTCTCACACCGTGGAAGAGATTGAGCTGACGTATCAGAGTGCGGGGAGGTCTTCATTGCCAGACTCCAATGGTTCAATCCAGTCTCGACAGAACCAAAAGCTTCTGGAGATCGAGGAGCTCACTCTTCAGACACCAACAAATGGAACCACATTGGTTCACAACTTATTTGCAGATATATATGACAAGGATCATCTACTGGTTAGTTCAATTGACTATTTCTGTTTCAAGCATGTGAACTGGTAGATGCTAAGTTAGGTATAAATGCCACTTTAACAGATAATGGGTCCTAGTGGGAGTGGTAAAACTTCGCTCCTAAGAGCAATGGCTGGTCTTTGGAGGTCAGGGAAAGGAAAAATCACGTTCTACCTCAATTCTCAGGATGATTTTACACAGGAGAAATATGATAGTCACGAAAATTCAGGGAAAAAAAGTTCGGGAGACGTATTGTTCCTTCCACAAAGGCCTTATATGGTTCTGGGAACTCTGCGTCAGCAATTGCTCTATCCTGCCTGGAGTACAACCATGGAGGCAACACCTGGTAGCAGTAAAATAGACGGTACTCAGTTCAAAATTGTGACTAGTTGACACCACTTATTTCACCACTTGTATCTACGTTTCAGTTAGGTTATCTAACCCAGATAAACGACTGGCTCAAACATAAATCAGAAACCATTTGAAGTATAAGAAAATGCATTTATTGTCCCAGGTTCACTGCCTCTCCTGATAAGAGATGATGGAGTTGATGAGTTTAATAAGCCGACAACAGATGATCTGATGCAGACTCTAGAGAAAGTTCGTCTTGGACATATAGTGGATCGCTTTGGTGGTCTTGATTCGTTACACGAGTGGTCCAGTGTTCTTTCACTTGGTGAGCAGCAGCGCCTTGCCTTTGCACGGTTATTGCTGTCTCAGCCAAAGCTGGCTCTCCTGGATGAATCCACTAGTGCTTTGGATGAAGCTAATGAGGTATGTCGTGCCTTGTCCTCTCATATGTCATCTAACAATACCGTTGAGCCATTCATTTCTCTTGATTCGTAGGCACACCTCTACCAGCAAATCCAGTCAGCTGGCATTACATACATAAGCATTGGCCACCGGCAGACTTTAACCAAATTCCATAACAAGATCTTACGCATCTCAACGGCAGATCCGAAAAGCATGGACCGTAACTGGAGAATGGAAGACGCGAGTGCCAAAGGTTCTTTGTACGGTCCATTGAATCAAGAAGAGGTGCCAAGTGAAAGCTGATCAAATACATAGAGACAGAAGAAGGTAAATGCATTGCGGAGATGATCGGAGAGGGCAGTTCCTGAAACAGGGTTGTCTTGCAAGAAACATTGTCCGAAACACCCTTTTGTTGTATATAAGTTGCAAGTATTGACGTGGACACAAAACTAGTGAAAGATGCAAAATAAAAAGAGATATAAACAGATACGCACGCAACAGAAGCAAGAGTCCGAATCACTGTTAGGTCCATAAGACAATCATCTCTTAAATATACAAGAAAGACGTAAGGAAATTAAACTAAACAAGTGCCTACTAAACAAGTAAGAATCGTGAATGAGTTGTTAAGTAGTGGGGATTTGTCTCTCGCTGCAGAATAAGACAATAAGTAGTGGAGATTTGTCAACTCAACAAGTGGTGGGCTGAAATTGGCCCAGATGAGAAAGCCCAATAGAGTGAGAAAACTGAGTAGTCGTTTAGAGTCGTTCGATGCTCTGAAAGTGGTATCCATTGCAAGGAAAGGGAAGGATGGTGACGAAGGAATCCATTGAAGTGATCGCGCAGAGCATTGGACTCTTCACTCTTTCACCGGATGTCTCTACCGCCCTTGCTCCCGATGTAGAGTACCGCGTCCGAGAGGTCATGCAGGTATCATCAGCTTCACTTGCCTCTCTCCTCCTTTCTCTAATCTCCCTGCTTGATTCCTCCTCGCATCTGCAGGAAGCTATCAAGTGCATGCGCCATGCTCGTCGCACCACTTTGATGGCTCATGATGTTGATTCTGCCCTTCATTTCAGGAACTTGGAGGTTTTCTCCTCCTCTCCCCGATTTTTCATTACACTTGACCCTGATTTTGACCCTTTTATCTTCTTCTTATTCTTCCTCCTCTCTTAGCCTACTTCCGGTTCGAAAACTGTGCGGTTCACGAGAGCTCCTGAGCACAGAGATCTCTACTTCTTCGATGACAAAGATGTCGACCTCAAGAATGTGAGTGTATGTGAGCAAAGGCGGTTGGGCATGAAGATTAAATCATCAATTTTGTTTATTAGCTTCCTTTTGCTGCTCTCTTTTGCAGGTTATCGAAGCTCCTATACCAAATGCACCTCCTGATGCTTCTATCACCTCTCATTGGTTGGCAATTGATGGTATTCAACCTTCCATTCCACAAAATTCTTCTGTCCAAGGTATTGTTATGTAAACCATTCTTGGCATATTGTGTTGTGGAAGAATTTGTATCTGCTACTCATCCCCAATTCCGTTTTCCCTGATAATTTTGTAGCCATATCTGACGTAAAACGGTCCGAGTATAAGGAAGATGGGCTGCCTGCTAGACATGTGCTGTCTAAGGAGCTTCAGGTAATTTACTCTGCCTGATGCTGTTTACACTTTCTTCTTCTTCTTCTTCTATTTTTCAGGCTATATTCCTTTCTCGCTCTCGATGCAGATTTACTTTGATAAAGTCACGGAATGGACTTTGACTCTACCTGGTTCCACCGTCTTCAGACAAGCACTCGCCAGCTTAGAAACTGACCCTGGGCTCCACCCGTTGGTTCCTTTTTTCACTTGTTTCATAGCTGAAGAGGTTTGTGTTTATATCCAACATCTCAAGTCTTGGGTTTTATGTCCTAGCTTGACTTCTTCTACCACATTTTTTGACTACTTTTGTGCCTACAAATTTCTCAAGATTGTAAGAAACATGGATAATTATCCAACCTTATTGGCTTTGATGCGCCTGGCTAGAAGCCTTCTTCATAACCCTCATGTACACATTGAACCATATGTAAGTTTTGTGGCTATATCCTGCAACTCCAATTGTAATACCTGTTTTTCCTTATTTCTACACTCTCCCTTCATCTCCTCCTGTTGACCCTTGGTGTGTTCTGTTCAGCTGCATCAATTGATGCCGTCTATTATTACTTGCCTCATTGCCAAGCGCTTAGGAAAAAGGTTATCTAATAATCACTGGGACTTGAGAAACTTCACAGCCAGTACAGTGGCTTCAACATGCAAAAGGTTAATGTTACATTCTTACTGTGTGATTTCCTGAATCTTGTAGAACTAGCAACTGCTGTGGCATCCAGCGAGAGACTTTTCCTTTGTTGTCAATATTGAGGATTTATTTGGCATATTCCATCCTTGGAAAATGAGGCATGCTTACAGTTACCTTACTATAGATTAGGGAACACACAATATAAGACATGATATGTAGCATGATCTGCATTCATATTAGTGAACCTTTTTTTACAGATTTGGACACGTTTATCACAACTTGCTGCCTCGTGTTACAAGATCACTGCTTCATACTTTTTTGGACCCAACCAAGGCACTACCACAACACTATGGGGCAATTCAAGGGATGCTAGCCCTTGGGCTTAATGTGGTACTTGTTCTTGGTGCTTGATTATCATAAGGAAGAGTGGCAGTTGGGCTTGAATCTAGGATTTCCCATAAGAAAGCATAAGCCTTAATCAGTAGAAGCACGATTCGTTTTCCTCGATTAAGTTTATTAAATCTGCAACTGAACCATAATCTTTTCGTGGCGGCCAGATATGTTTTTAGAGTCCTCTCTTACCCTAGGATATATATTTTGGTCTACCGCAAGTCTTGTCATGCTTTACCCCTTTTTCTAGGTTCGCTTTGTTGTTCTTCCAAACCTAGAGCCGTATTTGCTACTTCTTTTACCTGAAATGGTACCTGAGAAGCAAAAGGACGAAGCAATGAGGCATGGAGCTTGGCTCGTTTATGGAGTGTTGATGGTGAGTATGCTTTCTAGCTTTGATAAATTAAGTAATTTGTTTGCTTACAGTCTCGTGTATAATATTCGCTGTCCATAGGTCGCAGCTGGTCGATGCCTGTATGAACGACTTAAAACATTTCAGACACTGCTGTCTCCTCCAACCCGCTCGGTCTGGAAGACAGATGGAAAGCCCAGGCAGAGTATAAACTCCTAACTCAACCTTTTCTTTTTGTTTTGGTTCCAAATTCAGAGATACAGGATTTCCATAAGTAAGACTGGTTGAGTTTTTTTTTTCCTTTGGAAAGGTAAACGCAAAGCAAGTAGTGACAACTTAGCCCATCAACCTCCATTGAAGAAGATAGCAGCGGAGGGAATTATGCCAACACAGATGCAGATGCACGGAACCACAGTAGGGCTTTCCGCAGTCCCTCAACAGTCGCCAGTTGGAAGGGAAATTGCTCCAAGGACTTCAGCTACTCGGGGCACTGACAAAGATAACTTTCTGTTTCCTCTTTTCGAGTATTTTGGTGAGAGCATGCTTATGTTCACCCCTAAGCATGAGCTCAGCTTCTTCTTGTAACTGGTTATTGGCATGCACGTGTTTGTTGTACCACAAAGAATACATATTTCACTCATTGGAAATATTTTGAAGATTCTCAACTTCATAGCGGGCGTTTTGCGAGCGGTAAAATCAACCATTTGTTATCTTACATAGGCATTTGCTTGTGAGCATTCATCGTAACTTGGCCTGGATCACAAATACACACCGTCCTTTCCGTGCTACTCTTCCTCTCCATCTCCATTGTTAGTTGTGAAAAACGGTGTCAGGAAATTCTTGTCTAACGCGGTGAATGACGTAGTGCTGCAAAGTTTAGTTAAGTGAGACCCAAGAAATGCAAGAACACTTTCTACTCAGTAAAACATACTCAGGAAAACATACTAAGCCTTTCTCTTACTCTTACCTTTTGTGAAACTCTTTCAGCTTCATCTTGAACCTGCTTCCTGAAGATGAAGTTTCCTCGTCAGATGAAGCTCCAATGCTAAAAGGAGGAGGGATGTACCGAGGATTGCTCTCCTCAAAGCCCTGACCACGTGTCTGGTTGCATTAGAAAAGGACATACACAAATATAATTCAAAGGTTAATAGATTCGATCGTCGAGAGTTTACTTCAGACATGGAGTCATCATGATCATCACCTACAACTTCCAAAGCTTCCAACATTTTACCTGTCGAACCTCCTATCAGTAAAACCTGAAATATTACTGCCAGGGATAAGAAACCAACCCAATGTATTATCTCCAATTCTCGCAGATTCTTAAAGCCTTATATATACTACCGTTGGAAATGAAGAATACAAAACTTACCGTGACAACAACAATGGTTGTGGTTGCAGTAAAGATGATTTGGCCGTGACCCTCTGGTAGGTCATGAAGCGACTGAAGTGCAAGCGCAAATGCCATTGCCCCTCGAAGTCCTATCGATGTGCCAAAATGTGTACAAGTTTTTATACAGCGTAGATATAGAAATGGGAATCAGGAGACAATAACAAAACAGAAGCGATCAAAACATCTCACCACTATACCAAAGGGCTTTTTGGTGCTTCATAGGTATTTTCTGGTTCTCCTGTCTAACTAAATTGACCAAGTATGCGCACCCAAATACATTGACAGCCCTGCGTGATAAAAACATTGCAAAACATATAATTAAGCGATCAATCAGGATGTTAATGAAGCGATCAGCCAGGGAAAAAAAAGCCTTGGTGAGGGATTTTAGTCACCTAGCCACGCCAATAAACAACTGATGTCAGTCATGAAAGCACGCAGAAGCAAAAGGTAAAGTCAAGGATTAACAACACTGGCAACACTGCATACAATCACTGATGATCAGCGAACAAGGATACAATAGAGAAAAGGATAAACCCAACATGGGACCAGCTATGCTGCTCCATGGCAATATCAAATCCCATGTAAATGAACCTGGAATCGTATTAAGCAAATTAAAATCAATCCAACAATTTTTTAAGCGTAGAAATTATTATCTAACAGTGGGATATTATTGATCTGGACTTACGTGAAAGTTTCTGCCAGCGAGGATATCAAGTGAAAAAAAGCAGACACGAAACTCTGCGAAGCTTCTGAGAGATTAGAGAAAGTGTATCGCTTCATAACCTACAGTAGCACTGAATTAGGCTACCTGAAAATGTCTTGCCAGATATTAGCATCAACAAAGATGTAAAAACTACAATCATTCGGCTATTACAATTCCTGTGAAGAGTATAGACACAATGCCGGAGAGACCAACACCTTCTGCAAGCATGTATCTGACAGCACAACCAAAATACATTAGGAGGAACAAGTGTTCCATAAATACGAAGAGAAAAGACGAGGAGAGTGGTTTTGTCTGCTTACGAAAAATACGGGAAAAGCACAAAGAGACAACACTCCAAGTTTTGAAGACTGAGGTAGAGAAAAAGAAACGGCAGAGACATAAAGAGATGCTTAGAGAGTATTAACTAAACAAATACATCGAAGAGGTGTTCTGAGTTAAGAAAAGATGAGGCAGTTGACTTACTTCTCCGTATCCAATCCTGCGTACTTAAAGAGGTGTTCTGAGTTAAGGTTTCACAATACATTTAGACATGTAAAATCTTATAAGCAAAAAGAGGAATCGAGGAAGGATATCAAAGCTGAAGTGAATCCAACCCCAACACCTGCAGAACAGTATTAAGACTGTAAGCATATTTAAGCAATTTATGCGGTCAGTGAGGGACTCGGTTAGAAGTCATTGTCTCACCATTGGCAGAAATATTTTTGTCTGTGAGAAAAGAGAATAACAAATGACAGAGTATATTCTGCTTCACGTCAAGGAAAAATGAAAAACGGATCTTATGTATACAGAAAAAAGAGTTCTTACATGTATGCAGAACAATATGTAACTGTTAAGGATTTCAAAGGAAAAAAAAAGGCTTCCTGATTTAAGGGGTAAATTATACTACCGTTTCAAATCAAGTTATTGGTTATTTTGGCTGTATGAATCTTTGGAAAGATACCTAGTCTTTAGTTGATTGTTTCACTAATAATGCCTTTAGTTTTGTCGAGGAACGTTATGAGTCGATGAGCCTAATATTGTTGTAAAATTGTGAAGAAGTGTCAGAAAGGAGTCAGCGCAGGCATACCTGCAGACATTGAGCCAGCAAAAGTCTCAAGAAACCTGATCACCACCATGAGAAAATGTTCCCCAGTCGAGGACTGGCGGTTTACTAAGGACATTGTTCTGCGTAGAAAGTTTTTCTGTTGTACTTAAATACTGTGCTTAACAGGTATCTACAAGGAAAAAAAAATCATGTGGTTTACATACCTGTACAATGATATTGCCATCTACGAGCCACACCACATACACGAAAACCCATTTGATGGAGTTAGTGTTCTGGGTTTTATGTTTGCATAGATACGTAAAAGGAAGAGCCGAATTTTGCAGAAGGTAAACACAGACTCACAGCATCATTCAAAACTGATTCTCCAAAGACCAAAGCATACAGGTTGACGTCGGTGCCCAGTTCCTGCCATCAGACAATGTTCATCAGAATGCAGGGCATGGAATTAGAGAAATAAACGTGCTGTCTTCTTAATAATACTTGAGAGTATCATCATCAACTAGCATGAGGGATCAAACTGGATAATAATATGGAACGCAGAAGCACCTGGAATATAGACAGTACAGTGACAGGGTCCGTAGCTGATATAAGTGCACCAAACATAAGACACTCAACAAATGGAAGTTTATACATGAGATACATAGAGCCGCCAAGATAACTGCAAAAGGCGAGGAAACCAGATAAGGGTAGAAGCGAAATTAAATCAAACAAAAGAAGCTATAAGAGAATAAGCAAGAGGCTTACACTAGGCCACCAGTCACAACTGAAGCGACAAAAGTTCCGATGATAGCAAAGGTAACAATGGCTCCAAAGTTGGAAAAGAATGGTTTCTGCAACCAGCGAAAATCCGTTAAGTCAGGCATTGTCTATACAGTAGTATCTGACGGGAGAGAAAGGAAGGACAAGCACATACAGGTTGAAGACTGAAACCTGACTGGGTTCGGAGAAGGATGTCAAGGAAAATGACATTAAGCATAGCAAATTTGAGGATCTCAAATGCAGATATAATGCTTGGATATTGGAAACAAACTTAAAGAGAATCTTTGGTGGAAGAAGAAAGGATATAATATGATGGGAGGCAACAGAAACAAGAAGAAGAACTCCTCGTGGAAATTAAACCATGTCCTGATACATAAAATTCAACAACAAGTAAGCGAGGAAACAATAAAAAGGAAAGCCCAGGAGAGAAAGAGTAAGAGTAATCGTCACCTAATACTAGTCTCAGTGTCGGAGACATTAGCAAGTACACCGACGATTAAACCTGAAATTACGACGGAAGAAGAAGCTAGGAAGAGGAGAAATAAATAAAAAAAAAGGAAGAGAGAATAAGAGAGAGAGAGGGATACCAATGAGAAGCGAACCGCTGGCTTCAGGAAGATAGTGGAACCGGTGACGGCGGAGGACATGGCCGAGAACGAAGGAAAGGACGAGCATCATAATCTGAAGAAGTATACCAACACCGGCGGCTTGCTGCTGCTTAACCTGGCCCTGGGGGTCGTGGCCCGCCGGAGACATCGGCAGTTCCTCCATCCAGATTGAGATGGACGACCTTTCACACGCCTTTTTCTTTTTCTTCTTCTTTTTCTTCTTCTTCTACAAAGAGTCAAAGAGCAAACGCAACATAAAACGCTGACGTTTCATCGTTACCCGTGTCTCTCGTGTTTTTAAAATGGGATGCAATTTTCTACCTCTCATCCATCATATACTACCAGAAGTAAACAAACTCAATCAATCATTCCATATTTCCATGTATCATTCCCTGACTAAAAGCAGGTGAAGCTCTTGCTTCACGGCAAAAAATAAATAAAAGTTTGGAGCGCCAATTTCTGAAAATTTGTTGTAGTGTAGTGGCAAAACATTAATTTAAATATAATGACACTCAAATTCGAATATAGGCAAAGGCATATTTTGTATTTTTTTAATAATGGGCTAAGATTTTTGTTTTTTTGCTTTAGGTGGCAAAACCTATTGGATCGGCTTTGTGTGTATGTCTCATGAAAATGCAAATATCATTTCTCTGTCTTTTGATAAAAAATTTATGTCTAACCAATACGAAATATGGCGACAAAATATGATTCAGTACTCATCAGCAGCAACGAGGCAAAAGATTTGTCTTAAGATAACTTCTCCCGTTGTTTGTGCATGGAATAGAATAGAATAGAATATAGAGAGCAGTGGAATGGAGTAGAAACAATCAACGAAGCTGCCTAATAAAATGTAAAGCTTAGCATGCGAGTCAAGCAAAGCAAGTACAAGCTTAGAAGCACATCCTATCAAACGCCACCAATCCAAACCTTTACACAACTATAAATACGCTTATATATGAAACATCTCACTTCACCTAATTTGCAACAACATTTTTAATCAATCAAAACTATATATATATAGTAGGGCACAAAATGGTTCATTACTTCCCCTTTTACCCACCACCCTCCGACCAACCTCCCTTTCCTGCTCCACCGCATTACCCGGTTCAATCGCCGCCTCCTTCCCACAGTTTTCCTCCACCTCCACCGTCTTCTCGTCCCCATCAGCCACCGCCGCCTCCTTCCCACTTTGTTCCTCCATCTCCATCTCATCCCCATTTCCCACCGCCACCATATCCTCTTCCCCATCATCCACCGCCTCCACCTCACGTTCTTCCACCACCACCACCGGGGCACCATTCAACTGTTATCATTGTGATTGTTATCTCTCTTGGCAGTTTATTTTTTCTTGCGTTCCTCGCTGCTGCTCTCTTCTGCTATCTTAAGAAAAGAAGAGTGTCTTCTCTGAAGACTGAAATCACCATGTTTGATGAACACGTCAAAGTCCAACAAGTCATAGTGCCAGGACCCCATGGCGAACCAACGAGAGTGGTAATGCTTGAAGAAGACATTCATTTGGAAGGGGATATTCTAAAGACCGAAAAGCTTAGCCGAGCTCATCGGGTTAATTCAGAGCCCAATCATCACCTTATTGAGCACAATGCCTAAATCAAAAAAGAGATGTGGGAGGCCAAAATGTAATCAATCATCTATATTCTCACCATCTTACTAATTAATAATAACAATACGTATATATGGTATCAAATCTTGCAATCCAAAACTTCATAGCAGTGCTTTTCGCCCGGTTCTTGCTCAGAGAAATATATATGCATATGTCATTCTAAATTCAGCCAACTCCACTCAATTATAGCTAAAACGCGTAATCTTACACTGCCATATTCTTCCCTTCGCTCCTTGATTCATATGATTTTATACAATATATATATGATTACGTTTTATTGCTTTTAAATCTAATGTGTATTGGTAATGTATTTCTGCTGACTTATCTTGGCTTGTCATAAACATACTGTAATTCCATGTAATACGGCCTTATAATTCGCGTGCTCCTACATGTACAATTTCTTGCTTGTTGTTTGTAATGCTCTTTCTTCTCTAGGCAAGCACGATGGTGCACTACTTTCTAGGCTACATGTGATTAGTTTAATATAGTATAAATTTAGACGCAGATTCAGTAACTTTAAAATTTCAGAAGTTTCTCACTAATTTTAGAGCATACATAACACTGAAACACTAACAGAAAGTTACAAACACAAGTAGTATGTCAGGAAAACTTGGCAATAGAGTGGATGAAGTATCAACACAACCAAAATCAGATAGCCAACAATCAAGGCATGTGTCATAGAACAACACTTATCAACAGTATAAACATAAAGCAATTAAAAGTTTGTATATGACCGTCCAAATGTTACGTTACAGACCATAAGCACAACTTATGTGGGCATGATTTGTTGTACCCTCTAAAAGACAGGATAATGAATCTGCGACAACAAGCAAAAAGGGAAGGAGTTTCCACAGCATCCTAAGTGAGGAGAGAGATTTTTCTGTGGCTTGCCTCTGTCATATCTCGTACAAATACTTTTCAAACAGTTTCATGTGTTCAGACTGGAGAGCAATGGCCACGGATAAGCTGCCATCATTTGTAGGACTTGGTAGAACAAACGACAAACCCTCGTACGGGATGCCACCAGGTCCCATAAAGATGGGACGACCCCAACCAAAGTCTGCATCGTAAATGGGTAATCTGACCCAGCTTGTGATCCCCAGATTTGGGCATTTGTAGGTATGTGCACCGCGGACCAGGGCAGACAGATCAGGCTGCATCTCCAGGTAGTCAAGAGCAGACCTGAGATAGTTATCGTCCATGCGAACCAAGACATCATGAATCAGTCCTGCAGCATACCATGTAGGCTTTGACAGCAGGTCCCCTGCAATGGCGAGTGGTGTTGCAGTGAAAATGACGTTGCCAAAGTAACCAGGGGGAAGCTGCGGGCGCAGTCTTGACCTTCCATCAGTAGCAATATAGAGTTTGGTCTCTTGATCGTCTGGAAGCCCACGGGCCTTGCCTACGGATCTCCACACATGACCAGCCAACATCTCGTATGAGCTGTAGCTTACGGTGTTGCCATCATCCTTGGATTTAGCCTTGAGAGCAACAAGCTGGTCGCGTGATAATTTGAAAATGGAGACGGTGGTATTGTCAGGGCCTGATTTGGAGGGATCGAGAGGGATCCTCATACTGGGGGCAGGCTGGTACTCAACATGATGGAACGCTGGCTGAGGAGGGTCCCTAGCGCGGAGGAGGGTACGATCAATGAAGGGTGGAATGGTAAGGTCAAGACCACGGGCCATATCGGACCAAGTATTGATGAAATGAAGACCAGAGAAACCATCGGCGGCATGGTGTTGCATGCCAACCCCGAGGGAAGCTCCACCGCATTTAAAAAAGGTCACCTGCATACACACATATATATATATATATATATAGCCCAATGTTACAAGTGTGGCACATGACTGACTGAGACAAAGGAAAATCAAAACGGATTCGAGGTAGATTAAAGACAAGATCGGGAATTAACTATTTCCTAAAACCGAAACTACATATATATGTATTTCCAGGCTAAATTCCACACGAAATAGATAGACATCTCTCTCTCAATGGAGTGTTCCATTAATGTACATATACAAGATATATATATATATAGAAAGAAAAGAAGGGGAGACCTGGAGAACGAGAAGCGGGAAGGAGTGAATGCCGGGGGAGTGATCAACATCGGGAATAAGCTGGCGGAGATTGAGGGTGGGAGCGAAGTCCCCAAAGTCGTCGATGACGGAGGGAGTATCGGCGACGACGAAGAGAACGCCGGCGGCGTTGCAGTCGATCTCGATACGACCATCGTCGTCCCTCTTCAAGCGGCCGGCCATGGGGTAGAAGGGGACCAAGGCCTTGGAGAGGGCTTCCTTCATGACCTCGGGGTCGAAGAAATTGGAGGAGCCGGTGGGCCTGTAGAAGTAGACACTGGGGGTGTGGAATCTTGGGATGATCAGGTCCACGTTGGAGTTCCATAGGTAAGTGGAGGGGGTCTCGGCGGCCGGCCGGACCATGGTCGAGTCCCGGATGTTGATTTTCATCTTGAAAGAAACCTGGATGGAGGGATTTTTGCTTTTTTTTTCTTGGAGGATTTTGAGGAATGTTGGACAAGAAAGGAAGGATTGGGATCCTCTCCTATATAAGTGGGTGGAAGTGTGAACAAAAGCCAAACGTCGCAATCCTTCACCTACCGCGCCCGCCTACTCTCCCTTCCCTTTTTCCATCTGTCGATGGATCGGCTCCCTCCCACCAACTCTCTTTCTCTCTGTCATGCGCAAACCCAAAAGGTCCCATGCCATTTTCTTCCTTATCCCATTCGTCCATACCTCTTTCGCGGGTCCCACTTCTTTTTTCTGGAGATGAGGGGTTGGTAAACCCGTTCGGATAAGTCTCTAATTACATTTTTACCAAAACACCGTATTATTATTGTATGAATGTTTCCCTAAGCCCAACTTTAATTGGGCCCACTATATCTTACGTCTCACAAATCTGAATTTATCAAATGTTTCCGTAAACCCAAAATATCATCGAGCCCAAATCTTAGCCTCGTGGAACTTTGGATAACTTTACTCCTGGTTACTCAGGGAGAAGAAGAAGCAAGGGGAAGGAAGGAGCCCAATCCCAGAAAACTAACGTAACAATCTCCAAATGTCTCGGGGGAGATAGCCTATACTATAACCCATCTTTCTTGGTTGAATGGAAATCCTAAACAATCAATTGTGCTTTTTCATTTTTTCTTTTTTCTTTTGTTCTTAGTAACAGCAACTACTCTTTTTTTTTTTTTTCTCGCTACAACTGCTAATATTCATAGAAAATGAAAGTTGAGGTGTTACATGAAGTTAGACCTATATACTTGTTTTCCTTGGGAAAAATAAAATAAATAACAAAACAGAGTGGTCAAATATTCTATCTAATTATTGAAAGCCACAGCGCCATCAACTTCTGAAAGCGACGCCTATGCCGGTGAGCATTGATTGTGTTTCTGATTTGTCGATCTGATGTAGAACATATGGCTGAAGCAGGAACAGAGCATTGATTGCGGATCAGGTGTTCCTCTGCCTCCAAATGTTGTAGATGATAACCTGAGCAATAATCTTCCGCAGAACTGATGGTGCGGTCGAAGTAGAGGCCAGAATCCATTCCGTGAGGTGAGCCCAATTCGTGAAGATCGACAGCGACATGCCGAGACGAGCCTGAGCAGAACTCCAAATTTCCTTGCTGTAATCACAATGAAGCAGCAGATGATCCCTCGTTTCGTCGAAATTAGCACAAAGGCAACATACTTTTGGAATATTCATTCCCCATGAAGCTAATCGAACTCTTGTTGGCAGCCGATCAAGCTGAGCAATCCGCATCGTGAAAGCCAGCTTAGGAGTAGCTCCTTTAAACCAAACAGACCCAGACCACAACTTGACCGTATCGCGAGGTCTAAATCATCCCAAGTTTTGGCCGAAGAGAATCCCCTACACTTCACGCAATCAACAAACCAGACATAAGAGTCTTCCCGAGAAGATATACTAGGAAGCTGGGTTGTGGTAAGATGTATTTGTAGAGTCAGAGCAGCCTCAGATCTTGGTGAAGGAAGCGCCCATCCTGTGTCAGTACAAGCATCCACAACCTTTGCATCAATGGGAATACGAAGACTGGAAGGTCCTCCCTCTCCAAAGAACCTGATGAGTGGCCCAAAAGGAGTCCAAAGATCAAACCAGAAACTAGCACGCCTTCCATTTCCAACATCGCATCTAAGGAAACTTTCCGCCAAAGGTCTAAGCTTAAGAATAGACTTCCAAGTCCACGGGTCTAATCTCGATTCCTCTACAGCCAAGTAACAACAACTACTTGGCCCAAGATATATACATATATGTGCGGATGTGCCCATTTACAAGAACATTTCAGACAAATGCATATGGTTAGCTCCGGTCCTTACATGGACAATATTTCTCGCTTTTTGGATTCTATGAGTTTTTACAGAAATGTCGATACATTGATGGGTAGTAGTGTCGTGTCTCTATTCATACGAAAATTTTGTTTAAGTTAGTTGCTGCCTTCAGAGTGAATGTGACCAACCATGAGTATGAAATTTCCTTCTCCTTGAAAGCCTGCCTTTTTCATTATTGTGTTTTCCCTATAAAAAACATCAAAATGAATCTCCAAAGGCCAGATTCCATGCTAAGGAACTACATCTAAACTCTTCGCCTTTTTTCTGCTCCGCAGGCACGAATAGGACAGAATAGGACAGGAAACCGTGCTGTTATAAAACCCAACAAATGTACATTAACTAAAAAATTTTCTTTTTGTAAGATTAAGTAGATTTTTGTTATTAATAGAGAAAATTATACATAATCTCTTTTTTTATATTTTTTTTGGAATTTTTTGTGTTATTAACACAATACATACATTTAAAAAAATATTTTTTAATTTACGACAAAAAAAGAAATATTTTTATTTTGAGTGTTGATTTGGCATGTTTTAATTGATCTAACGATTATTTCAAAACAATCATAATTTCTAAAACGCAGGAAAAAAAAGTTCTCTGTAATAAAACCCAACAAATGTACATTAACTAAAAAATTTTCTTTTGTAAGATTAAGTAGATTTTTGTTATTAATAGAGAAAATTATACATAATCTCTTTTTTTATATTTTTTTGGAATTTTTTGTGTTATTAACACAATACATACATTTAAAAAAATATTTTTTAATTTACGACAAAAAAAGAAATATTTCTTAATTTTGAATGTTGATTTGGCATGTTTTAATTGGTCTAACGATTATTTCAAAACAATCATAATTTCTAAAACGCAGGAAAAAAAAAGTTCTCTGTAATAAAAACTTTTCATCGCCTTTTCCATCTTCTTCGTTTCAGGTTTTTTCTCCTCGCTTCAGAGAGAAACCACACTGGTAAGCCTCTGCCTCTCCAAGCGAGCCCTTTTTTACTCCCTTAGCTCATTCGCGTCGCTTTTTGAGAAACCCTAGATTCGCGAGAACCTTCTTCTTCCCCTTCTCTTCGCAAAATCAGAATCATAGTTACAAGCTGCGATTTCAGTTTCAGGGTTTGTTTCCGCGTCATCGTACATCTAATTTCTTGAATGAATCATGGCAAGGAACGCTATTTCTGATGAAGAAGGCATGCGCACAAACCCTAATTTCTCTGTGTGTAATGCACGCCGTAATAGGGTTTCTTCCTGTAACGTGATGAATCGCGAAAGCCCTGATGACGATGATGAAGAAGACGACATTGGTGAAGATCTCGAAGACTTAAAGCGTGACTGTATGGTCACCGAGGCCAATTCCGATGAGGTCAAAGCGAAATCCTGTTCTGTTGGAGCCGATGGAGGCGGCGGCGGCGGAGGAGGGATACCGTCGGATTCCGAGAACGAAGACGACTTGGAGATGCTTCAGAAGCTTAAGAGCAAATATGCCTCGTCGATGGGATCTAGAAGTGGTCCTCCCATGTGTTTTTCAGTGCCCTCGGATTCCGAGAACGAAGACGACTTGGAGATGCTTCGGAGCATAAAGAGCCAATTAGCCTCGTTGGAGCGATCGAGAAGTGGTCCTCCCATGGCTTTTTCAGTGCCCGAGAACGAAGACGACTTGGAGATGCTTCAGAGCATTAAGAGCCAATTAGCCTCGTCGGAGGGCTCGACAAGTGTTACTTTTTCAGTGCCCCCGGCTTCCGAGAACGAAGAGGACTTGGAGATGCTTCAGAGTATTAAGAGCCAATCAGCATTGTCGAGTGACGCGTGCGTTCCGGATAAATACGACGACGAAGATGATTCTTTTGAAACCATAATTTCTGATGAAGAAGGCATGTGCACAAGCCCTGATTTCTCTGTGTGAAATGCACGCCGTAATAGGGTTTCTTTCTGGTTTGTCTAACGGGTTGAGTTTTCCTTCTCCGCGCAGATGATCATGAGCTCGAAGACGGGGAGGTTGAGCCGGTTCATGGAGATCCAGTTGACAACGCCGACAACGATGATGAAGATGAAGATGACAAAGGTAAGCGCTTTGTCCTAGATTTTGGGCTTCTCTGAGTGGAATGGGTGTTCTTTGTTTCTGTTGTATTGAATATTCCCTCAGTTTCTTTTTTTCTCTTTTGTGTCTAACAAATCTCTATCTAAAAACCATATAGTGTAATTGCATTCAAGGAAAATAGTGGTACGGCTTGGTTAAAGAGAAAAAGTGCATGCAGTTCTCTGTCTTAAGATCGATTAAGTTGCTCCATTACTGGATGCAGTGTCTGCATTTGGCAACAGGAAAAAAAGAAGAAGATAGGAACTCATTGTTGGATGAGCCGATGAAAACAAAGTGAATGAACAAATGTGTTTGTTCTTAGATGTTTATCTGCTGGAAATTTTTCTCCTTCAACCACTTCTTGTTTATATGGTCTCTGTCTCATGTGGATACTTGATTTATAATGTGGTTCTCTAGTCTTCATGGTTTATATATATTAATGAGTTTCACATTTCTCTCATTTTGGGTTTGAGTCAGTTGGGTTTTTTCTAGTCTTTTGCAATTAGATTCAAGCTAGTTTTGTTCCATGATGTGCGAACCGCATTTCTGTCTTGTAGGTGAGGATGAGTATGAGAATGATGGGTTCATAGTGAGTGATGAAGAAGAAGAAGAAGAAGAAGAAGAAGAAGAAGAAGAAGAAGAAGAAGAAGAAGAAGAGGAGGAAGAAGAAGAAAAACAAGATAGTGATGGGGAGACGCAGAAAAAAAAGAGGAAACGAAAGGAAAAGTAAGTATTCTTTCCCTACTTGCTCTCGTTCATCTTTTGTAACTTGCAAAAAACATAATGTTTGTGTGGACCTGCAGGACACATTTGAGAAATTGTTCCCTTAAATCACCGTAGTGCTTATTTGTAGTTTTCATTTGCATTGTCTGTTATAAGTATATAGCAGGGTTTGTTATCTTTCTGATTAACCTTCCACGATGATGATTTTAATAGGGACGATCTTGATGAGGATGATTATCTGCTTCTGCAAGATAACAACGTCAAATTCGAAAAGGTTAGTCATATTTGTGCATAACTATTCCAGATTATGTACATACATTAAAATATACTTGCGGTTCTAATGCATATTGTTTTTTCTTCTTGTATCATGACAGAGGAAGTACAAGAGGTTGAAGAAAGCTCAAAGGGAAAGTGAAAATGGTCAGGGGGGATCATCTGATGATGAGCTTGATGGGAGAGGTGGAGCTGGAAGAAGTACTGAGGACAAGATCAAAGACTTTTTGTTTGATGATGATGTTGATGGTATATTCTCTCTAGCTTTGTGATATTCTTATTTGGACTCTCGGCACATAGTTGATTTTGTACTTTGTGTCTAGTAGATCTGCCTGATGATGTAGGCGATGAGGAAGATTTAGCTGATGATTTAGGCGATGAGGAAGATTTAGCTGTGGAAGAAGATGTAGTTGGTAGCGAGGATGAAATGGCAGATTTCATCGTAAATGACGATGAGAAAGGTCATCCTAGGAGGTGCAGATTTTTCTGTTTTTTAACCTCTCTTGTGATCTTATAGGTGTCTTATGTCACGTATAATTTTTTCTGATTCAAATCAACTTATTTGCAGTGGAGACGCAGGTAAAAAGAAAAAGAGATATAGGCAGGGATCAGATGTTAGTGCTATGCGAGAGGGTAATGAAATCTTTGGTGGCGCTAATGCGTTGTTAAGGCGCAAAAATCGTTTGGCATCTAGCGAACCAAGTGAACCAAGTGTGCAAAGAAGGCTGGAAGATAATACTGAACCAAGTGTCCTTGAGGAGAAGTACATGACAGGGAAAGATGAGGAAATCTGCCAACTTGATATTCCTGAGAGAATGCAGGTGCGCTCTCTGCTATAATTTTTCCTATACGACCTTATGGTCTAAATGTTATTTGGTGTTCATGGGTGGATTTAAGATATCTTGTCAATTTTGACAGATATCTGAAGAAAGCACTGGAAGCCCTCCAGTAGATAAAACTAGCATTGAAGAAGAGAGCAATTGGATACATGCTCAACTTAGTTCTCTAAAAAAGGATTCTGATGGACAAAGACTTCACAATTTTGAAGGACTTTTCTCGGTTAACAAGGAGGATATTGCAAAATTTTTGGAGCTACATCATGTGCAGAAATTAGAGGTTTTGATCACTCTAATTAGATTTATAATTTAACAGCTCGTTCTTTATTAATTTTTTCCTTCTATCCTCCAGATACCATTTATAGCTATGTATCGAAAGGAACAATGTCGCAGCTTGTTGGACTCTGCTGATGTCGATGACCTTAATATAGAGAAGAAACCTGAGACCAAGTGGCATAAGGTTAACCGTTTTCCTGGAGAAACAATAAGTACTCATGTATTGTGGATTAACGTAAAGTCTTTGCCAATGTAGGTCTTCTGGATGATTCAGGACTTGGATAGAAAGTGGCTCCACATTCGAAAAACAAAAAGCAGGTTGCTTTGTAGCTGTAATCGTTTCAAAGGAGAGCCTGCCAATGGTGAAACTACCGTAGATCAGGATCTGCTAGATTCAGTTATTAGTTATCTGAATTTGGCAGAAACAGAAAGAGAGGTTGAGGACGCGAGAAAAAAACTCAACTTGCATATTTCTGCAAATGAATTTCAAGGGCAGTACAAGAGGCCGCCGATGAAACCAGGCTGTAGCATCTACATGAAAGCGGGGCTCCGGGAGATTTTAAACAAATTTGGGTGTAGTGCTGAGAAATTGGGACTTGCATTGTGCCAAGATATACTGGTCAGTGTGACTTTATATTGTTTTTCTGCATGTTGTTCTGATATGCAAATTTTGATTCTTATTGGATTGCAGGTTGAAGAGCTGGAGGATGCAAAGGAAACACCAGAGGAGATGGCATCGAACGTAATGATTGAAAATCCTCAAGCTGTTCTTGAGGATGCACGGCGTATGGTACATTCTGCAGCAAAATAGAATTCAATACCGCAAGTACCTCTCTTATAATCAAGGCTGAGATACCTTTTATTTTTCTCTGTCAGGCAGCATTTGAGATAAGTCACGAGCCATCAGTCAAAAAGTATGTCCGTGGCATTTATATGGAGAATGCAGTCCTCTCGACTGTTCCAACAGTACTTGGGGAGAATGTAATAAAGTATGGCGATGATTGTCATGGGGTTAGGTGGTTAGATGAAAAGCCATTGAGCAAGTTTGAGGATGCGCAGTGGCTTCTCATTCAGAAGGCAGAAGAGAAGAAACATCTTGAAGTAACCTTCGAGCTACCTAAGTGTCACAAGGATAGACTATTTAGCCACTTCAGTAAGCACTATCTTAGTGTTGCTGGTTGTAAGTATGCCGAACTCTGGAATAAGGAAAGAACATTGATACTTAAAGAGGCTCTGGAAGAAATCATTTTGCCATCAATGGTAGCAGAAGCAAGATGCTTGCTAACTAGCAGAGCGAAGAGTTGGTTGCTTTCAGAGTATGGACAGGCTTTGTGGAACAAGGTGTCTGCAAGGTCATACCCAAAGAAACGGAAGGACATTAACTCAGCTGAGGAGGCTGCACCGAAGGTCATGGCATGTTGGGGAGCTGGAAAGACACCAAAAACGTTTGTGATGCTGGATTCATCGGGAAAGGTGCTTAAAGTGCTTGATACTGGATCCCCCTCACTGCGATCTCAAAATGTCAACGGCCAGCAACGTAGAAAGAGTGACCAGGAACGTGTTTTAGAGGTTATGATGGACCACCAACCGCATGTTGTGGCTTTAGGAGCTGTCAATGATTTTTCTCTTGCTCGGCTGAAGGGTTATTTGTTAGAGGTAAGGATCCATGTGCCATAAATTTTGTTCGTTAACTCATGCTTATGCAACATAATTTTTTTCTGAAAAACCTTGTTCACCGATTTACCTAATTAGTTCCAAAGTATCTACTCTGTAGTGTCCTAGATTGTATATTTATCATCATTACTGTCAAAATCGCTATACCTTTTTCAAGTTTGACTGGCTCAATATCTACTCTGTAGTGTCCTAAATTTTGTATTTTATCATTAGTACTGTCAAACCCGCTATACCTTTTTCAAGCTTGACTTCCGGAAAGTGATGATGTATATGTCATCGAATAAGTTGAATTTCTGCTTATCGTTTTATATCAGGTCATTACCCGGATGGTAAAGGAAAAGCCAAGAGATGTTGGACATTGGTTGAATGGTTTAGACATTGTTGTTGTGAACGAATCGCTTCCAAGGCTATATGAAAATTCTCCAATCTCAGATCAACAGCTACCTCAGGAGTCTGCGCCCGTGAAACGTGCAGTTGCTCTTGGACGCTATTTGCAGAATCCACTAGCAATGGTCGCGACTTTATGTGGTCCACACAGGGAAATTTTGTCTTGGAAGGTTCATCCTTTGGACTACCTGCTTCAGGATGATGAGAAGTATGGAATGGTTGAAAAAGTTATGGTTGACATAGCTAACCAGGTTGGCATCGACATTAGTTTGGCAACTATCCACCAGTGGCTTTTCTCTCCTTTACAGTTCATTTCTGGACTTGGGCCTAGGAAAGCTGCATATTTGCAGAGGTCGCTTGTACGAGCTGGTTCGAGATTTGTCCGCAAAGACCTGTTAGAACATGGGCTTGGTAAAAAAGTTTTTGAAAATGCAGCTGGTTTCTTGCGCATCCAGAGGAGTGGGCTGGCTGCTAGTAGTAGTTTTGATGACACTCGAATACATCCCGAGTCATATGGTCTTGCACAAGAATTGGCGAAGAATTATTATATATATGATCATGATGCTATAGATGATTCCAGTGTTGATAAGGATGCGATTGAGATGGCAATACAGCATGTGAGAGATCGGGGAGCCTCTTTGAGAAAAGATTTCCTTGATGAGTATCTTGCAAGCCAGAAGCTGGAAAATAAGAAGGAAACGTGCAGTAATATCATGAGAGAATTAAGCTGTGGTTTCCAGGATTGGCGGATACGGTTTAAAGATAGTTTGGAAGTCATGATGATCTCTGGCAAAATTAAAGGTAACCTAAATTTTTTACAGAGGTATGCTAGAGACGAAGACAGAATTGTAAATGCCAAGCTGAAATTGCGCTGTGGAAAAGCCATATGTGAATTAGCTTCCGGGTCTATAGTAGATTCTGGGTCTATGAAGGATGGTTTCTCAGATCTTGGGAGAGAGATTGTTGAGATGTCGGACCGACTGAAAGAAGGTGAAATTGTATACTGCAAGATGGGACTTTTTAAGAAAGAGTATCCAGCAAAAAGGGAAAAAGAGAATAGATATGAACAAGTGCTCTTTCTTTGGAAAGAGACTGAGTTTAGAAACAACATGCACCAACAGAATCGGGATCCCTATTACCATGTGGATACAAACAAGTTAACTCGAAAAGTAAAGAAGGTGAGAAAGTATGATGATATAAAGACTCGGATGACAAACCATCCTTCTTTCCAAAACTTCACTGCTGACAAAGCAACAGAGGTATGCCAGGATCTTAATAGTTTTGTTTTTTTGCTGTCACTTTTTCTTTTTTAAAGAAATCTGTGTTTAGTCGTTTGTGCTTATGATCTTGCAGTACTTGTCTGACAAAGATTATGGAGCATATGTTTTTCGTCCAAGTTCTCGAGGATATTATTATTTTATGCTGACGCTAAAGATTTATGATGGAGTTTACGTTCACAAGGAGGTCATTGACTCTGGAAAAAGAAGTAACAGTTTTCCAGACATATGTTGTATCGGGCAAACCCTGATAATTGGAGAGGACACCTTCCATGATCTAGATCACGTACGCATCCTAGGTTTTTTATAATTTTCTTTTACTTTTGTATCTTTGGAACTAATGTGATGCATTATGTCATAACTGCAGGTAATCGATGAATATGTCAACCCTCTGGTCTCTCATCTCAAGACCCTGATTAAGTATCGGAAGTTTCGAAAAGAGACAAAAGCAAGAATAGATGAGCTTCTAAGGATCGAGAAGGGTGAAAATCCTGAAAGGATAGTTTACTGTTTTGGGATTTCTGATGAACATCCAGGCACCTTTATACTGTCTTACATAAGAGACAGACATCCACATCATGAAGATATTGGTTTATATCCCAAGGGATTTAAGTTCAGGGAAATGATGTTTGAAAACATTCACAAGTTGGTGATATACTTTCATAAGCATATTGATGACCGTGGCTCTTTTGGAGGAGGTGGTTGGGGTGGTTCTCAGAGTGAAGGAGGCTGGAAAGGAAACTCAGATCGCTCATCTGGACCAAGACCAGGTAATCCTTTCAAAGTTGGTTCGTAACTTGCACAGAATGTTATATACTCTTATACTTATGATAAGCAAAAGTATAAACCCATACAACACACAATGTCGTGTGGTTCTTAATTTTCACAGGATGGTTTGTGCGCTCATTATTCGACTTTCTCTTTTTTTTTTTTTTGGTCAACTATCGACTTTCTCAAGTTTTTGTTTTAATTTAAAATTCCGGCAACTTTTTTTTTTGGTCAACTATTCGACTTTCTCAAGTTTTTGTTTTAATTTAAATTCCGGCAATCTAGATTTTGGAGCGCCAATACCGTTTGGTGGTCGTGGTCAAGGCGGTTGCTACAGAAACGGTGGAGCGCCAATACCGTTTGGTGGTCGTGGTCAAGACGGTTGCTACAGAAACGGTGTGGGAAGGGGTGATGGACATCCAAGTGGAGCGTGGTCAAGGCCGGTGTCATTGCGACGGAGGGTTGCATCGGAGGGGTTATAACAGTGTCAGACAAGACGTTACTGGAGAAGCAAGCTGGGTGAAGACGAAGGCGTCTTGTGGAAGAGGTATTATATAAATACTGAAAGCCTTTTTTTTTACTGCTTGTCTTTAAGTCTGTACTTTTTCTCATTACAAAAGGTTACTTTTAAAAACTTTTCCAAGTTTGAACTTCTTTATAGTTGCAATATCAGTAGCAGATCCAATTTTTCTTCTTGCCTCTGGGTTTTGCAGATTGTGGAAAAGCTTCTCAGGACAGCTGTTGCGGAAGCTGATGTAGCTGTTCGCAAGTCTATCTTCGTTTCTTTATATGGCAACCACTGTTTCGATGATTATCTAGCACAGGCTGATAGTTTGACAGCCATTTTCGCTTCCTTAAAGGATGAGGTATGGATATCTTATTTGTTTCAATAAAGTAGCATATGTCATACGATAATTCTATTTTGTTACAGATCTTTTAGTTGCCTCTGTTGGGTGTATGTTTTAAGCAGCTCCATACCAGCTGAGAATTGTATCGATATCGATACCGTAGCTGCTATTTTTGACGACATGATACCATTATTCTGGAAAAGTGATGATACTTCTGTTTTTTAGTTATTTTATCTTTTTGTTCCCGTTTATGATATGATCGTATAGTATCTCGAATGCCACCATTGCCATGCTATTTGACATCTATCTATCGTGGACTGATTATTCCTTGGACCTACCTGTGACTTTCGGATGAGTTGCAATTGTATTGCTTTTTGTAATTCAGTTTTGGTGGGTTCATGAAGTTAGTTACTTAATTACCCCCTCACAACAGAACTTTTGGATAGCAAGACTTAGCTGGACTTTTGGTCGACTAATTAGCCTTTATTGTGTCACAGTCTTATCTAACTAAGTTGTACTGGAAAACTGCAGCTGAGTATATACTTAGTTGAATGAATTGTGGAGGAAATGCATGTCTTATGTGGTGGATGAACAAAATGCATACGTGTGACACCCCTGTTAACTTAATAGAGTGCCTTGCTTATGTTTCACTCCACCTGCCTACTTTTTCTGTTTAGTTAATGGAGCCGTTTCAGTTCATATATTTGAATATCTCTGTTCAACAGGACCTTGATGTCCGAGAATATGCCATCTCAGTTGCTGGGAGGTTATCCGAAAAAAATCCAGCATACGTTCTTCCAGCACTTCGTAGCCATCTGATAAAGCTGTTAACCTATCTTGAACTGAGGTAACTGCAAATTTCTTTGGTTCTTATATGAAGATATGTTTCCTATTATCCAGTATCTGTTGCATTAACTTCAAGTGTAATGTCAGCAGTGCAGTTAACAAGTGCAGAGAAGAGAGTACGAAGCTCCTTGGTTGTTTAGTTCGAAATTGTGAACGGCTCATTCTTCCATATGTGGCTCATGTGCAAAAAGTTAGATTTGTATTCTCTTCACTTCTTAGATAATATGACTATTATTGTAGCTCACGGGGTTGTATTTCTTTTATTCTAGGCATAGGCACTTGTTGCAAGACTTAGTGAAGGAACTGGAGTAAATGCTAACAATTTGTTACTGGAGTTCTCGTAACAGTTGGGGATCTTGCAAGAGTGGTACGCTGAAATGTAAATGTGCTACATTTGCAGTTTCTCTATCAAGTGTCGATCAAATGTAATTGTGCTTTCGTAATGCGTGGAATTTGCATTCTGATTTTGACTCTTCCCAGCTGTACTGGCAAAGCATATTTCAAAATTTTAATGGCCTAGCCAGTATCTAATATCTTGTCTTCAAGTTGACAGAGTGATGACACTTATTTCCTGTGTAGTTGTTATTTGTTGAATTTGGCTAAGACATTCCTCTCCTGTTTTTTTTCCCGTTGCTTGCTCAGGGTGGCTTGGCAATGAGATAATACATTCCTGAGCTAATGCCTTGCTTTAATGGATGGAGCTGTGTAGCAAAACGTGAGGTGGCTGTTTCTACCCTTGGTCAAGTTGTTCAAAGTACAGGGTGTGGGACAGACTTTTTACCTTCTTTTAGGAACTAAAATTCGTTTTTTGAATAATTTTACTAGGTGATTTTGAACATGCTAAAATTTCTGTAAAATATGAAAACATTACGATCTTAATTGGTGAACACCTGGTTCGACTAGATGGAGATACTGGATTGCAAGTAAATATTTGACATGAACAAGGTGCTTCTGTTTCTTCTAATTGGCTTGCTAGAAGCCTGAGCTATTCTTAGGCTGTTGCTCGATATCGTATGTCAGAATGGGTTTATGTTTATCCTTTGAACTACTAGAAGAAAGATCGTTATCCCTAGCCACTTCTCTATCCGCGGCAGATCTTTGTGATGGTTTCTTGTTCGTCTTACACGCAATGGCCTACTATTCCTGGCGATGGATTATTACCCTAGTTTTTATGTGTTGGAACTTGCGATTTCTTATTATTCTATCTTCATCGTGCAGAGAGGATTCATTTACCACTACCTAGTATATCGTGCTGCTTAGATTTAAGCAACTGTATTGTTGATATTGATGAAGTTGTAGACATACTTGTAGATAGTAGGGTGATCAACTTGCATGTTGCATTGCTTTGGACATGGTTTCATGTGCTATTTTAGAAAAAGTCTTAGGAGGATTAGTTTCATTATTTACCGTATTTACCAATTAAATCAAATTCTCGTAGGGATTTGATTCCAGGACAATTTTTCAGAGGGTTGAGTTCCTAATCGTCCCCGTTTCTCTGAAAAATTGAGATCTCACCAGGGTTACTCTACCTATTTATAGCGTCTATAGAGTATTGTTGAATTACTTGTTAAAAAGTAATAAATATGCAAAATAACTTTCAAATATAGTTTATTAAATATTAACACAGAGCTGGAGTTAAAGACCACTTCCAATGAGAGGATTTTAGAAGAAGATCTTACATTGTATGTATAGAAAATAATAATTAAATATTATAGAGGTTTTTAAAATAGGAGAGAGAGTATCCAAAGTCTCTTGTTTCAGAAACTCTCTTTATACATTTAAAGACTCTTCTCTTCATTTTTTACATAATTTCATTCTATATTATTGTTTTGAGAACTCTTACACTGTTTTTAACATTCCATAGTTGGAGATGCTCTAAGTAAAGCTTTAAAAAGAGTAAGAGGGATTAGTTTTATGATTTACCCCATTTATCGAAAAAATCAAATTCTTGCCGGGGTTAGGCCATTGTTTTCGGGATAATTTTGAAATTTTAAGTTTTCTTGTTTTAACACATAGACGCATCCTCTATGGGTTATAGGAACTAGATCTAGATCATGTAGGTTTGAGTCCCTAATTGCCCCATCTTCTCCAACAAATCAAGATCTCATAGGAGTTAATCAACCTATTTATGGCATCTAAAGAGTTTTGTTGAATTACTTGTTAAAAAATAATAAATCAGCCAAATAATTTTCAAATATAGTTTATTTATTAGGTATTTTAGATATAAACTTAGGAGGATTAGCTTCATTATTAAACACCTAAAAGCCAAATTCTCGTAAGGGTAGTCCACTGATTTCATGACAATTATTTAAATTTAAGTTGTTTTTTGTTCTAATACATAGACATATCCTCCAAGGATATATGAACTATACCACATAGGTTTGGGTCCCTAATTATACTTGCTTTTTAAAAAAATCGAGATCTCATAGGAGTTATTCCATCAATTTCTACGAGAATTGGAGAAGTACCCCTATGAGATCTCGATTTTTCAAAACTTGTTTAGTTATCCTGTTTTAATACATTTGTATTTGTCTTTAATTATTCAAAAAGTTATCCAACCGATTAACGATCAATATAGAGTTTTAAAAAATACTGATTAAAAAGTAATTAATGTACCAAATAACATTCAAAATAGTTTATTTATACAAAGTTTTGAATTTAGGGTTTAAGGTATAGAAGAGTTAGAATGTGGTTAAATGTTTTAGAATTAAGATGCCAAATAACATTCAAAACTTGTTTGGGTGTGTATACAAATTTAAGAATTTAGGGTTTAGGGTTTAGGGTTTAGGGTTTAGGGTTTAGGGTTTAGGGTTTAGGGTTTAGGGTTTAGGGTTTAGGGTTTAGGGTTTAGGGTTTAGGGTTTAGGGTTTAGGAATGTGGTTAGTTTTTATTAATCTAGAGGTAGAATGTAATGAGGTACTTTAAAAATAGAGCGACGAGAATTATTTTCTTTATTTACTATATGTATTAAAAATTTTAATATTTTTTTACGGATTAATTCACTAATTACGAGATATTTTTAAATATTTTACATAGCTTGTTCTAATACTTATATACATTTTACTTAAATTTGGGAACTAGACTGTGGATGTTCAGATCCCTATTTGTCTTTGATTATCCATGCAAATAGGGGTTAGCCATGATGTATATAGAGTTTTTCAAAACTTAATTGATGAAAAATAATAAAATTGCAAAATAACATTCAAAAACTAGTTTAATTTAATATTTATCTAGTGTTAAAATGATGTTAGGTCTTTAAGAAATAAAATAAAGAGAATTAGTTTTTTTATTTACTATATTTATTCATAAAATTGAATTTTCAGAGGGATTAGTTCACTGATTTTGAAGTATTTCTAAAAATTTTAGTTATCCCGTATTAAAATATTAATCAAGAGTTAAAATATGATTAAATATTTTAAAATTAAGATGGAATTAACATTAAAAAATATACAATTTTAAGAATTTAAGGCTTACGGTAGATCGCAGGGCATAGGGTTAGGGCATAGGGCTTAGGGTTAGGGCGCAGGGTTTAGGGCGCAGGGTTTAGGGTTTAGGGTTTAGGGTTTAGGGTTTAGGGTTTAGGGTTTAGGGTTTAGGGTTTAGGGTTTAGTTAAGTTAGTTTATATTAATCTGGAGGTAGAATGTAATGAGGTACTTTAAAAATAGAGTGACGAGAATTATATTCTTTATTTACTATATGTATTAAAAATATTAAAAAAATTTTACGGATTAA